GCTGCTGCTGCAGTTCCTGCTGGAGTGTCGGCTGCTGCTGCTCCCCTGAAGGGCTCTCCGTAAGCGCAGCAGCAGCAGCTGCAGCTGCAGCAGCTGGCTGCAGCGGCTGCAGCAGATCGACACGACCGAGTGCAGCAAGACAGCTAACAAAGGAAGCAAAAGGCATCTGCTGCAGCAGCAGCAGCAGCTGATTCAAGCAGCAGCAAACTGCTGCTTCTCCTGCTGCTCCCCATGTCCGCCGCAGCGCCAACCAGGAGCTAACTGGTGCCGCTGACAACAGCTGCAGCAGCAGCAACATTAATGCTGCAGGCTCTTCTGCTGCTGTTGCTGCTGCAGTTGCCGCTGTTGCCGTTGCTGCTGTTGGTGCTGTGGATCTCGCCGCCTGTTCGATAGGCTCTGCTGCTGTATCTGTTGTTGCATCTGTTGCTGCTGTTGCTGCTTCTGTTACTGCTGCTGCTGTTTCTGTTGTTGCTGCTGCTTCTGTTGTTGCTGCTGCTGCTGCTGCTGTGTTTAATCGGGCAATCCTTGCGCTGACTTCGTCAATAATAGCGGAGAGGAAAAAGTGTTGCCGCTGCTGCGACTCCTGCTGCAGCAGCTGCTGCTGCTGCAGTTGCTGCTGCTGCAGCTCCTGGTGCTGCTCCTGCTCCTCCTGCTGCTGTTGCTGCTGCTGCAGCGGGAAGTGCTGCGGGAGCTGTGACAGGTATGGCAATCTTGCTGCTAGCAGCTGCAGCTCTGCTGCTGCTGCTTGCTGCAGTTTTTTCTCTAGCAGCAAGTTGAGGTGTCTGTACACCTCAGTAAGCATCTGCTGATACTCATCTATGTCCCCACACTTGTTCCTTAGCTGCTGCTGCTGCTGCTGCTGTTGTTGCTGCTGCTGTCTTACTAGAGCTGCGTCATGAGCAGCCAAATGTAGCTCCTCGTCAACTGCCTGCAGCACAAACAGCAGCAGCAGCACAGCAGCAGCAGCACAGCAGCAGCAGCAAATGGATCAACTGCAGTCCTCCCTGTTGCTCCTCCTCCACGAAAGCTACATAACAGCAGCAGCAGCAGCAGCGGCAACAGCAACAGCAACAGCAGCAGCAGCAGCAGACGTACCGCCATGCCTGTAGCGATTGCATCCAGGGGCATCTGCAGCAGCAGCGCTTCTAACCAACGAGGAGCTGCTGCTCCTCCTGCTGCATCTGCTGCTGCTGCTGCTGCTGCATCTGCTGCAGCACCAGTAGGGCTGAGGTGTCTATACAGCTCAGCAACAAGAGGGGATATATCGGGAACGTTTCGTCTCCGCTGCTGCTTCTTCTGCTTCTGCTGCTGCTGCTTCTGCTGCTTCTGCTGCAGCCGCACTTGCTGCTGTTCCTCCTCCTCCTCCTCGTCCTCCTGCTGCTGCTGCTCCTGCTGCTGCTCGGATGACCTCTCATACTGCAGCAGCAAGCATGGCTCTCCTGCAGCAGCAGCTCTACCTGCTGCTAACGCTGCTGCTGCGTTGCCGCGCCTCCAACAGCTAAACAGCACTTGCAGCAGCAGCGGCAGCTGCTCCGAGTTAATAGATTTGCTGCTGCTGCTGCTGTTGCTGCTGCTGCTGACCTCGTTGGGCGGAGAATCCGAAGGCTCACGAGAATCGCCTTCAGGTGCAGCAGCAGCAGCAGACTCAGTGGCATCCCTTGCTGCCGATGCTTCTGCTGCTGCTGCTGATGCATTTGCTGCTGCTGCAGATAAAATACTGCAGGCCTGCTGCTGCAGCACCTGGACTAGCCGCTGCAGCGGCTGCGATGCTGCTGCAGCAGGAGCAGCTAAAGGAGAGGTAAGGATTGCTGGCAGCAGCGCGTACTGCTGCTGCTGCATACATGCCTGCTGCTTGTGCTGCTGCTTTACTGCACTCAGAGGTTGCGGCGGCAGCAGCAGCTGTTGCTGCTGTAGCTGCTGCAGAAGCTGGTGCTGCTGCTGCTGCTGCTGCTGCTGCTCAGGGCCCGTAGAGGTTCGGCTGGCTGCGCGCAAGCAGAGACTGTCGAGGCACCTCAAGAAGAGAACGCGAGAATCCTGCAAGACACAAGCAGCAGCAGCAGCAGCAGCAGTAGCAGCAACAGCAGTGAATAAGCTGAAAAGCAGTGTACAGGCTGGGGCAACAGTAGAGGCAGCACAATACTATCAGCAGCAGGAGCCAGTGCAGCAGCAGCAGCAACAGCAGCACCAACAGCAGCAGCCTCACTTCTATTGCCTGTTTTGTTGCAGCAAAATCTGCAGCAAACGCAGCTGCAGCAGATGGTGTCTCCCCCAGAAACAGAGGCTGCTGCTGCTGCTGCTGCTGTTGCTGCTGCTGCCGAATCAGGTGCAGAAGCTCGTGGTGCTCCCGGTGCTGCAGCAGCATCTGCTGCTGCTGCGCAAGTTGAAGCAGCAGCTGCTGCAGACCCCACAGGTGCATGCAGCAGCTGCGGCGAGAGAGCGCTATGCCTATTAGCTGCTGCCGCACTGCAGCAGGAGCATCAAGCGCATCTGCAGCAGCAGCAACAGCAGCAACAGCAGCAACATCCTATGTAAGCAGCAAATGTCTCCCTTATCAACAGCCGGCAGCAAACCCCAGGCAGCAGCAGCAGCAGCAGCAAGCAAAGCGACAGAACAACCACAACACAGGAGGTTGCATGCATGCAGGGGTCTGCAGCAGCAGCAGCAGCAGCAAAAGCAAAAGCAACTGACGGATAAGCTGTAGGAGAGGGAAGAGAATGCGACTGGTCTCTTCCTGAAACTCCAGTTGCTGCTGCTGCTGTTGGTGCTGCTGTTGCTGCGTCTGCGTCTGCTGCTGCTGCTGCAGTTGCTGCTGCTGGTCTCCGAAGCAGCGCAGCAGATGACGAGCAGCAACAGCAGCAACATTAACTTTAGCAAAAAATAAAAGAGAAGATCGTGTACTAAAATAAAGAGAAGCAATCTTATGTCCTGCTGCTGCTTCTGCTGCTGCTTCTGCTGCTGCTGCTGTGTCTGCTGTACTCCCTGCTGCAGGGTATGCAAGACCCCCAACTAGCTGCCAGGGAAAGTGTCTTGGGTAAGCAGCACCACCAACACGATCTGCTGCTGCTGCTGCTGCAGCAGCTGCTGCAGCTGTAGATGGTGCTGCAGCTGTCATCCCGGTTACCTGCTCAACAGACAGACGCAGCAGCAGCAGCAACAGCAGCTTCTGCAGCAACCACAGCACCATTAACAACAGACCAGCAGCAGCAACAACAAATTCTACACACGAGCAGCAGCAGCAGCAGGTTGCCTTACCGCAGCAGCAAAAGGGTGCAGCAACTCAGCTCTTGCTGCAGCAAGCAGCAGCAGAGCAGCACGACGTGTTCGCCGCTGCTGCTGCCCTGCTTCTACTACAGACCCTGACAGCAGCGGCAGCAGCACTTCGAAGACAGGAGAACGGGGCAGTGCTGCTGCTGCTGCTGCTGCTGTTGTTTTTGCTGCTGCTGTGGTGTTGCTGCTGCTTAGGGTAGACAGGGGAGACGGGAGGCTGGATATCAGCTGCACACAAAGCAGCAGCAGCAGCAGCAACAGCAACAGCAGCAGGATAATGCTGCGGTTACAGCTAGCAATTCAGGAGCAGCAGCAACAGCAGATGCAGCACAGCAGCACTACAACAGCACTAGCAGCACACAAGCAGCAACAGCAGCAAACAAGCAAAAACAGCCACAGCAGCGACACAAGCAGCAGCAGCAGCAGCGGCAGATCTTACGGCTGCTAGATGTATATCTACACCTTGTGCTGCTGCCTGCAGCACTTCTGTTGCAGTAGCAGCAGCAAGACGTTCTGCTGCTCTGCTGTATATACACTCCAGCAGCAGCAAACTGCCATCAAGAGAAAGAGGCATTGGCCATGTTGCTGCTGCTGCTGCAGCAGCAGCAGCAGCAGCAACAGCAGGAGTAGCAACGGGAGCAGGAGCAGCAACAGGACCAGGAGCAAGAGCAGTAGCTGCAGCAGCTGCAGGGGCAGCAGCAGCAGCTGCAGGGGTAGCAGCAGCTGCTGCAGGGGCAGAAGCAGCTGCTGCAGGGGCAGAAGCAGCTGCTGCAGGGGCAGAAGCAGCTGCTGCAGGGGCTGCAGCAGCTGCTGCAGGGGGAGCAGCAAAACGGACAGGGAACGTTGACAACTGCTGCAGCAGCAGCAGCAATTCAGCACCTTGTGCAGGTGCAGCACGCTTCCTCCCTTCTGCTGTTGCTGCTGCTCTTGCGGCTGCTGCTGTTGCTGTCTTGGATTGACCTGTCCCTGCTGCTGCACCTGCTGCTGCTGCTGTTGCAACAGCAGCATCAGCAGCCCATCCAGCATCGAGGCCTACCTGCTGCAGCAGCAGCAGCAACTGCTGCTCGTCAACATATGGTGAGAGGTAACAGCATGGCTGCATCCTGCTGCTGTTGCTGCTGCCGCGGCTGCTGCTGTTCCTGCTGCTGCTGTTGCTATTATATGGCGCAAGGAAGTGACGACGGACGGCTGTCCATACAGCTGCGGTGTCTGGCTGCTGCTGCTGCAGCAGAGACACAAACGGATCTGCTGCTGCTGCTGCTGTTGTTGCTGCTGCTGCTGTTGTTGCTGCTGCTGCTGTTGGTGCTGCTGCTGGCAACAGCTCTGCGCGCCGCTTCTGCTGCTGTAGCTGCTGCTGCAGCTGCAGCAGGTACAGCTGCCGCGAGCGGCAGCAGAGAAGGACAGCAGCAGCAGCAGCAGCAGACAGGGATGCAGCAGCACCTTCAAGGGGAAACGCCAATTGAGGCAGCAAGGGAGACACGGGAATACTCTGCAGCAGCAACAGCAACGGCAGAAGCAGCAGCAACATGAGCTGGTGCAGCAACAGCAACAGCAGCAGCAGCAGCACCATCAACGGAAGCAAGAGCTATCTCTTCAGACCCGTGGAGTCTGCAAGCTAGGGTTTAGGGTTTAGGGTTTAGGGTTTAGGGTTACTGACACGGAGGAATATATCAAGAGAAGCAGCAGGATGTACACCTAACTGCAGCAGCAGCGGCAGTCTAGCAGCCGCAGCAAACCACCATACTAGTCCCTCAGCTCTGCTGCCTGCTGCTGCATCTGCTGCTGCAGCAGCAGCGGCTGCTGCTGCTGCTGCAGATGCAGCTGAGCCAGCATGCAACTGCTTAGCATGGGAAGCAGCAGGAACAGCAGCAGCAGCAGCAGCAGGCGTTGGTCTACAGAGGAGTGCTGCTGCTGCATTGACTGCAGCAGCAAAATGAGGAATTGCTGCTGCTGCTATCGCCTCGTTGTATGCCAAATCAAACAGCAGAGCAGCAGCAGACACAGGCAGCTTTAGCTGCAGCAACCTGCAGCAGCAACAGCAGCAGCAACAGCAGCAGCAGAAAGAGCAGCTAATGCACATTCTGCTGCACAAAGCAATACACATGAGGGGGCAGCACAGACACACACAGCTACAGCAGCAGCAACAACAACAGCAGCAACAGCAGCAGCAGCAACAGCAGCAGCAGTTGCCTACCATCCGATGATGGCTAGCTTCTGCTGCAGCGGTAGAGGTGACCATACACCTGAAGGCCGTGGGAATACTGCTGCTGCTGCTGCTGCTGCAGGTGCAGCACGTGCTGCAGGGGTACGAGCAGCAGCAGCAGCAACTGCTGCAGCAGCAGCAGCAAGATCATTGACTGCAGCAGGGGGTCGATGCTCAATAAGACGACTAAGAAAGAAAGGAAAACCCTTAAGATCATAAACCCTCTCCTGCACCACAAACCCTAAACCCTAAACCCTAAACCCTAAACACTAACCCCTAAACCCTAAACCCTCGGATTATCTTGTTACGGAGCCCTTGTTATTACGCATGCAGGCCAACCCTAAACCCTAAACCCCAAACCCTAAACCCTACAACCTTTTTACCCACACAAACCCTAAACCCTGAACCCTAAACCCTAAACCCTAAACCCTTACAGGTGTTAAGGGGAGAAGAGTTCGATGTACAAGGAGCCAATCTGCTGCTGAGGGTTTTGCTTCTCGTGCAGCAAAGAAACGGTTAAATTGATTCAGTGCTGCTGCTGCTGCTGTTGCTGCTGTTGCTGCTGCTGCAGCACGGCCTCCAGGCAGCCGCTGGCTGCTGCTGCTGCTGCTGCTGCTGCTGCGAGCAGCATCATGCTCTAAACGATGCAATGTACGCGATAAAGCTGTCGAGAACCAGCTGCTGCTGTTGCTGCTGCTGCTGCTGATGCTGCTGCTGCTGCTGCGGGACTCGGGCGGCTGCTGCACCTGCTGTGATGACCGCCTACCACTCTGCTGCTGGTGCTGCTGCTGTTGCATCTGTTGCTGCTGTTGCTGCTGCTGCTGTTGCTGCTTGTGGAGGTGCTGCGCTTGCTGCACTTGGAGTTGCCACCGATGCCACAGTTGCTGCTGCTGCTGCAGCAGCAGCTGCTGCTGCTGCAGCTGAAGCTGCATCTGGTGCTGCACATGCTGCTGCTGCTGCAGATGGTGCTGCGCATGCTCCTTCTGCTGCAGTTGCTGCTGTGCGCTGTTCTGTGCATGCAACTGCTGCTGCAGTTGCTTCTGTGCATGCAGCTGGTGCTGCAGGTGCTGCTGTGCATACAGTTGCTGCTGTGCATACAGCTGCTGCTGCAATTGCTGCTGTGGATGCAGTTGCTGCTGCAATTGTTGCTGCGCATACAGCTGATGCTGCAGTTGCTGCTGTGCATACAGTTGCTGCTGCAGTTGCTGTTGTGCATGGAGTTGCTGGGCATGCAGTTGCTGCTGCGCATGCAGTTGTTGCTGCTGCGCTTGCACTTGCTGCTGCGGTTGCTGCTGCTGCTGCTGCAGTTGCCTATGGTACCGCACCGATCCTGCAGGGTTTGTCATCGCCCTCAAAGGCTGCAGCAAGAAACCAGCAGCAGCAGCAGCAGCAGCAGGCCATCATTAGCAGCATGCAGCAGCAGCAACAGCAACAGCAACAGCAGCAACACCGCTCACGTAACACAAGCAGCTACTGCAGCAGCAACAACTAGCAGCAGCAACTAGCAGCAGCAACTAGCAGCAGCAACTAGCAGCAGCAGTACATACACCTAGTACATCAGGAACAGCAACTCTGGCAGCAACACCTGCAGCAGCAACACGTGCTGCAGCAGCCACTGCAGCAGCACCAGCTGCTGCTGCTGTTGCTGCTGCTGCTGCTGCTACGAGTTGCTACTGCTGCTGCAGCTACGAGTTGCTGCTGCTGCTGCAACTCGTGTCTTCGTGAGCTCACCGGTATATTGGGGGGAAGTCTCCGTGCCGCCATTTGCTCCAGGCATGTGTTGGCTGCTGCTGCTGCTGCTGCTGCTGCTATTGCTGTTACTGTTGCTGTTACTGTTGCTGCTGCTGTTGCTGCTCAATTGTGGATAGCTGGTTGATTAGCTCTGCTCGACCATTATGTGTATGCTGCTTGGAGATACTTGGGGCTGCTGCAGCTGCTGCTGCTCTGCTGCTGCTGCTGCCTCCGTTGCTGCTGCTGCTGCTGCTGCTGCTGCTGCTGCTGCTATCGTCAGCATTCTGAAGCAAAGAATCTATGTTGCAGCAGGGAGCGCAGCAGCAGCTGCTGCTGTTAAGGAATGAGACAAGGTGTACGTACTTCCTGCTGCACCTGGTGACCTTCCTGCTGCTGCTGGTGCTGGTGTCGCATTCGTTTCCCTCGGTGTTGCTGCAGCTATTGCTGCTGTTGTTGTTGCTGCTGCTGCATGCGTCGCTAGGGTTTGCTGCTCAGCAGCAAACGACTAGCAGCACGTACACCGCAGCAGCAAATAAATAGCAGCATAAAAAGACACCTAAATAATATAATATACGTGGGGATTTTGGTATACAATAACTAAGCGCTGCTGCTGCAGCTGCAGCAGCAGCCGCAGCAGCCGCAGCCGCAGCAGCAGCAACAGCAGCAGCAGCAGGAGCAGCAGGATACCAGCAGTCGTGTTCTTCAGTACCATGACTTGCTGCAGCAACAGCAGCAAATAAGCAGCAGCAACAAAACGAGCAGCAGCTGCTATGTATAACAGCTTGTTGTATTGTACGGTGACCTACACCGCTCTCAGGAGCGGCAGCAGCTGCTGCTGCTGCAGCTGCAGCAGCAGCAGCAGCAGCAGCAACTACAGCTGCTGCTGTTCTGCAAAGAAATCCTCATTTGTATGCCCTTCTGTAGTCACTCTCAGCAGCACGCCTCCACAAACCCTAAACCCTAAACCCTAAACCCTATCTAGGGGGAGCCCGGTGTGTGTGGCGGCTGCCGGTCGCGAGAGCAGCAACGGCAACTGCGGCAGCAGCAGCAATAGCAGCAGCAGCTCGCCGCAACTTGTGTGCATGCTGCCTCAGCACCTGCCGCTGCATTAACACAAGGCTCAGCAGCAGCAGCAGCAGGATCTGCTGCTGCTGCTGCCGCTGCTTCTTTCTCTCCAGCTGCTTCTGGCCGGCCAAACATAGACTTGTCGGCAGCAACAGCAGCAGCAGCAGCAACAGCAGCAACAGCAGCAGGATAGTTAGGGTTTATTGCTGACAATTTGCAGCAGCAGCAATGGCTGCTCGAGTAGCACGAAGGGGCCTTCTGAGCTTCTCCTTAGAAGAAGAAGAGCAAGACAGCTCCCCCTCACAGCAGCAGAAGCAGCAGCAGCAGCAGCAGCAGCAGGAGGAGGAACAGGAACAGCATCATCGACGCCGGCGCCATAGAGAAGAAGGTAGCCAAAACAGCGGCAGCAGCAACAGCAGGCATAAATCCCGCGCCTTGGATCCTAGCAGCAGCAGCAGCAGCGGCAGCAGCAACTATGTAGGCAGCGCTTCTCCCGTCCCCTCGAGCAAGAGCAACGGCACCAGCAGCAGCAGCAGCAGCAATAGCAGCAGCAGCAACAGCAGCAGCAGCAGCAACAGCAGCAGCAGCAGCAGCAAGGTGGGGTTGCTGAAGATGGCGGACATGACAGCAGCAAGATTTAAACAGGAGGAAACAGCAGCAGCAGCAAGGAAGCAAGAGGAAGCAATTCAGGCAGCACTTCTCTCTCTTAGTAGCGCCTCTCCCTCCAAGTCAGGGTTTAGGGTTTAGGGTTTAGGGTTTAGGATCTTAGCAACGTGGCACGTCTGCATACCTATTGAAGCCACGATAGTTACCAGCAGCAGCAGTAGCAACATCAGCAGCACCAGCATCAGCAATAGCAGCAGCATCAACAGCAGCAGCATCAACAGCATCAGCAGCAGCAGCAGCAGCAGCAGCAGCAGCAGCAGCAGCAAGTGCATGCGTATGTGTATGTGTGTGTGCAGAGCTTTTATGGGTTTTACGGATCCATCTATATCATCTGTTTCCTCGCCTTCTTCCTCATCCTCTTCCTCCTCTTCCTCTTCCTCTTCCTCTTCTTCCTCCTCATCAGCATCATCAACAGCAGCAGCAGCAGCAGCAGCAACAGCAGCAGCAGCAGCAGCAGCAGCAGCAGCAGCACCAATTCCTGCCCCATTTATATTGACCTGCGGCAGCTTCAGTAGCATCGGGAAGAGGCAACAAATGGAAGACACGAATTTCCGTCTTCTCCATTTCACGCATAATTCGGCACTTTTTGGAGGTAATTTGCTCCTGCTGCTGCTGCTGCTGCTGCTGCTGCTGCTGCTGCTGCTGCTGGTAGTGGTGGTAGTGGTAGTGGTGGTGCTGCTGCTAGTGGTGGTGCTGCTGCTCGTGGTTGTTCTAATATTGATATTGCTGTTGGTTGTTGGTTTTTTTTTTGTTGCTGCTGCTGCTGTTTGTGCTGCTTAAGCTGAAGTCGCTGCTGCTGCTGCTATTGCTGCTGCTGCTATTGATGCTGCTGCTATTGCTGCTGCTGCTATTGCTGCTGTTCTAACGGCTTCTGTTTGCTGCTACTGCTGTTGCTGCTGTTGCTGCAGTGTTTGATGGGCACAACGGCAGCAATCTGTCGGAGTTCTGTAGGGCGAATTTCCCTCGCGTATTAGCACAGCAGATGGCTGTACACTGCAGCAGCAGCAGCAACAACAGCAGCAGCGGCAGCAGTAAGCGTTCCCGTCGTAGACACAGGGATCGTCACCGTCGAGGCCGCAGCAGCAGCAGCAGCAGCAGCAGCAGTAGTGACTCGGAGAGTTCTCCTGGATGTTCTATACGAGATGCAGAAGTAGCAACAACCCCATCAGCAGCAGCAGCAGCAGCAACAGCAACAAAACAGGTAGAGAGGGCATTAACAGATACATTCCTGCAGATAGATGATGATTATCATCATAAACATCCGCATGCACCAGATGGCAGCACGGCGCTGCTGCTGCTGCTGCGGTGGTCACCCCCTAAGAAGAAAAAGAAGCATAAGGAGCAGCAGCAGCAGAACTCGAACAGCAGCAGCAGCAGCAGCAGCAATAGTGCGAGCGCTGCAGCAAATATGACCTACAGTGAATATAGGAGGCAGCTTAAATCCAATCAGAAACAGCAGAATCAGCAACAGCAGAAGCAGCAGCAGCAGCAGGATCCACAAGAGGCAGCAGCAGCAGCAGCTGCTGCTGCTGCAGCAGCCCAAGCAGCAGAACACGGCACTGCTGAATTGTTTGCAGCACATGTTGGTGACAGCCGTGCCGTCCTAGTCCTTAGCCCGAACAGCAGCAGCAGCAGCAGCAACAGCAGCAACAGCAGCAACAGCAGCAACAGCAGCAACGGGACTGTAGTGCAGCTAACAGATGACCACAAACCAATGCGGCCATCAGAGAGAGAAAGAATAGAAAGATGCGGAGGGTTTGTTATGCTATTAGGTTGCCACAGGTAATATATATAAACCCTAAACCCTAAACCCTAGATATCTTTTAGAGGGTTTTGGCTGTTGCTGACAATTATTTCACCTTCCCTTTCCCTAAAAAATATCATCCATCTGGGGTTTAGGTTTTAGGGTTTATTTTTGTTAGGGTTTAGGGTTTAGGGTTTAGGGTTTAGGGTTTGGGTTTGTCATTGTAAATTGACCATAGGAGAGAAAACATGTTGTTGTCCTATGACCTATTCTTTATGATTTATTGTTTTCTATTCTTTATTTTCTAGGGTTTAGGGTTTAGGGTTTAGGGTTTAGGGTTTAGGGTTTAGGGTTTATGCTCAGAGTGAGTATAGGTGACACGGGATTATTTTTGGCGATGTCTCGATGTTTGGGAGATTTTGCATTAAAAAATGTCTGCAAACAAATTGTACCTGCTGATGCAGAAATAACACATAGGTAATTTATTTATTTATTTATTTATTTATTTATTTATTTATTTATTTATTTATTTTATTTTTATTTTATTTTATTTATTTATTTATTTTATTGTCTATTTAGTTTAGGGTTAGGGTTTAGGGTTAGTTGATTGGGTGCTTGTTTGCATCATGTTATTTTTTATTGTATTTATTTATTATACTTATATATTTATTTATTTTATTTATATATTTGTGTATCTATTTTATTTATTTATTTATTTTATTTATTTATTTATTTTATTTATTTGTTTTATTTTTGTTTATTTTGTCTATTTGTTTGTTTATTTGCTTATCTGTGTTTGTTTGTTTATTTATTTTGTCTCTAATTTCTTTCTCTATTTGTTTAATTTACCTATTTATTTATTTATCAGTTTATTTATTTATTTATTTATTTATTTATTTATTTATTTATTTATTTATTTATTTATTTATTTATTTATTAGGGAGTTGGTGCCTTATAAGGACGCCTTATTAGTTGCTGCTAGTGATGGTCTATGGGATGTTTTTAGTAACGAACAAGTTGCTGCTTTCTTGCATGAGAGAATTCTTGCATTAAACAGCAGCAGCAGCAGCAGCAGCAGCAGCAGCAGCAGCAGCAGCAGCAGCAGCAGCAAGAATAATAACAGCAGCAACAATAGCAGCAACAGCAGCAGCAACAAGAACAACAGAAAGAAGACAAGAAGAGATGGATGGTATTCAAGTTCAGATTCTTCTTCGTCAGAAGATAGCGATCAACAAAATAAAGAAGAAGATCCAGCTAAAATGTGTAAATGGTAAGGGTTTAGGGTTTAGGGTTTAGGGTTTAGGGTTTAGGGTTTAGTAGGGTTTGGAGTGTAGTATCTATGGGAAGGAAGTTTCGGGTTCATTTCTGTGGATCGAAGCTGCGGGTTTCCTGCATAGAGTCTACCGTCTAGGGTTTAGGGTTTAGCGTCTAGGGTTTAGGGTTTAGGGTTTAGGGTTTAGGGTTTGTGTATATAGGTATTATTCTCGTGAGGTATTGGATAAGATGGCAAAAGAATTAACATGTGAGGCAATAAGAAGAGGATCAGAGGATAACGTCACTACTATTGTTGTATCCCTTAATTGGAAACTCCCTAAACCCTAAACCCTAAACCCTAGTAAACCCTAATAAACCCTAATTCACCGCAGAGGAAGAAGGAGGAAGGGTGTGTGTATGTATCAAACAGCCTGCTGCTGCTAGGATCTGCAGCAGCAGCAACATATGCTAATTCTGCTGCTGCTGCTGCAACGCAGCAACACCAATAGCAGCGCATACGACAGTATGTCCTAGCAGCAAGAGCAGCAACAGCAACAGCAGCAGCATCTGCTGCTGCTGGTGCTGCAGCTATTTATTTCCCTTGTGCTCTGTAGGATGTCCAGATCTTTCTCTGGGCTTTAACCTTCGATGTTCACCTCGTGTTTCCTCTGTAGCTGCTAGGGTTTAGGGTTTAGTGTTTAGGGTTTAGCGTTTCTTAAGATTTAGGATCAGGGATATAGCTGAATTTTGAGTACGAAGGTGCACACGGATAGGGATTTGGAGGGTTTAGGGTTTAGGGTTTCAGGGAGCATCAGCCGCAGCAGTGGATCACCAGTCCGGAGGTGACCCTATGCATAGGTAGAGTTTCTACTGTTTAGGGTTTAGGGTTTAGGGTTAGTGTTTAACTAGTGACCTATCGTTGCAATTTAGATTAAGGGGTTTAGGGTTTCTGGGGTTTATGTTTAAGGGTTTAGGGTTTGGGGTTTGAGTGATCGCGGTGGGAAGGGGGCTGGGCTTCAAGCAGGCCGCTCGTGCCCGCGAGAAATAAAAGGGTTTAGGGTTTAGGGTTTTTATGAATTTTTTTTTATTTGCATAATTTTTTTGCAAGTTGTTTCAATTAGACGCGGAAGGGACAAACCCTAATCTAGGGTTTTTCAGATCCCGCGAGCGGTCGGCAGCGCAGTAACCCTAAACCCTAAACACTAAACCGTAAACCCTAGCCCTTCGTCAAGTAGCTGAACTTCTGCTCTTTTAGCTGTTTGGATGGTTTTAGATGCTCTCTATGCTGGAAGAGAGCAGCGTTTACGCTGAGGGTTTAGGGTTTAGGGTTTAAGATCTAGGGTTTAGGTTTTAGACTGGTATAGAGCATAAGGGTAGCGTTCCCTGCAATGCTGCCCTGTTCTCCTCCCCTCTGCCCCCACGCCTCTGAAGCAGCAGCATCAGCAGCAGCAGCAGCAGCAGCAGGGCCTGTGCATGTGGTGAGGTCCTTCTACCCCCCAAGAAGAGAAAGAGGCATCAGACGTTTACTCCATAGCAGCAGCAGCAGCAAAACCTGCTGCTCTCCCCCACTGGTAGTGCAGCAGCAGCATCACGTGCTACTGTCACCTCCAGGAGCAGCAGCGGCAGCAGCAAGAACGGCAGCAGCTCCATGTATTGCGCCACACCCCTGTGAACCCCAAGAGCCTGATAGCCTAACCAGCAGTTCTGCTTCCTCCAGTGACTCTGACGAATCAGCAGCAGCAGCAGCAGCAACCAGGCATCAGCATCCCCCTTGTTCCTATGCAGCTCGGTCTTCACCAGTACACCGCAAGCGGCGGCAGCAGCACAAGCCCCAGCAGCAGCAGAGGCATGCATGCTACGGCGGCGGGTCGTCCCCCTCAGCTGTGTTACCTTCCTTAGGGGATTCAGCTTCAACAGCAGCAACAGCAGCAACAGCAGCAGCAGCTGCTGCTGCTGCAGCAGGAGGCGACAGTATCTTATCAGGGGACAACAAGCTGCTGCAGCAACTCGTCAATTCCCTTGAGCAGCTATCCAGTGGCTTAAAGGAGCTGCAGCAGACAGCGCATGCAAGGCTCAACAATGGCCTCCCTCAGCAGCAGCAGCAGCGACAACAACAACATCAGCAGCAGCGGCATTTCGGCACTCGTCCTCCCCTGCGGCAGCAGCAGCAGCAGCAGGTGCAGCAGGATGGACCTGTGGGCCCAGATACAGACTTAAGACTTTATTGCTCTGCTGCTCCTCCCTTACCAATCACCGATCCGCTGCCTCAGCCTCGTGCTGCAGCAAGACCCGGCAGCAGACACTTGCAGCAGCAGCAGCAGCAGCAGCAGCATCGACGCCCACGTAAAAGGCACCCCAGGAGCCCTTCAAGCAGCAGGAGGTTTGTGTCTCCACCATACTCAACAGAAGCAGCAGCAGCAGCAGCAGCAAGATCAAGGGCAAGCCCCGCTGCTCCTCATCCTCATTCTCCTGTTGCTGCTCATCATTCTCCTGTTGCTGCTGCACATTCTCCTGCTGCTGCTCATTCTCCTGTTGCAGCTGCTGCTCCTCCTTGCAGTCACTGTAGGCATCATTCTCCTCCTGCTCACCTGCTGCAGCAGCAGCAGCAGCAACACTGCCAGCGACGTATGTCTCCTTCTCCCCCCCCGTGCGGCCATTCCCCCATAGCAGCAGCACCACCACCACCACCACCTGCTGCTGCTGTTGCTGCTGTTCCTTGTCGGCCTTGTGTACACTTTAGGGCACCAGCAACAGAACTTATCTTAGAGCGCAGCGACCCGCCAGATGTCTGCCGGCGCAGAGAAGCAGCAGTAGCAGCAGCAGCAGCAGAAGCAGCAGCAGCAGCAACAGTAGCAGCACAAGCAACTGAATGCGCCCACGCAAAGCATGCTGCTGATGCTGCTCTTGCAGCAGCAGCAACTGCTGTTAGCTGCTGCCATTCCCCTCTACCAGGAGAAGCTGTCGGTAGGGATCTGCTCCCCTGCTGCTGCTACTGCTGCTACTGCTGCTGCTGCTGCATCTGCTGTTGCCTTTTCTGCTGCTGTATCGATTGCCGTTACTGCTGTAGATGTGTTTGGTGCTACTCCTACTGCTGTTGCTGTTCCTGCTGCTGCTGCTGCTTCGTTGCTGCGAATGTATGCTTTTGTTGTTGCTGCTGCTGTTGCTGTTGCTGCTGCTGCTGCTGCTGCAGTGATTGAACCCCGGCGAGGATTCTTAGAGCGAGTAAAAGACAAACTTGGCTTAAGGAGGCGTCCATGTTCGTTTGCTGCTGCTGCTGTTGCTGTTGCTGCTGCTGTTGCTGCTGCTGTTGCTGTTGTTGCTGCTGTTGTTGCTGCTGCCTTTCCTCCCGTTGTTGCTGGCCCCTTTTCAATATGCTCTGCTTTCTGATCTGTGCTGCTGCTTTTGCTGCTGCTGTTGCTGCTGTTGCTGCTGCTGGCAGGTGATGAGCAGCTGTTTGCTGTTATGTGTTTGTTGCTGTTGCTGCAGGCCGCAGCGCTTCTGTTGCTGTGCTGCCTCCTCCTCCCCCTTGCTGCTGCTGCTGCTCTCCTCCTCCTGTTCCTCTTCCTGCGTCTGCGCACATGCAAATATTGCAGTCTCAGCCTCACGGCAGCCGCAGCAGCAGCAGCAGCAGCAGCAGCAGCGGCCAGCCCCATCAAGTATTACCTCGTGTATATGTCCCTCCTCCCTCTCCTCTTGCATTAAATTCTTATGGTGTCTCTTATCCTACAGAATTAAAGGAGCCATTTAATTTGCTGCTGCAGCAGCAGCAGGAGAGGCAGCGAGTGCAGCAGCTAAGGCAGTACCGTACACACCGTGTACAACCTCCTGCAGCTGTTGCAGCAGAAGCAGAAGCTGCTGCTGCTGCTGATGGTGATAATCGTGCTGCTGCTGCTGCGAGACCTCCTACATCACCTATACCCAGCACGCCGCCTCATCGCGAATACAGGCAGCAGCAGCAGCAGCAGCAGCAGCTGTTGCAGCAGCAGCAGCAACCGTATAATTCACCCCAGCAGCAACACAGCTGGAGGAGAGCCTTCGGACAGCAGCAGAAGCGACGGTACAATAAGCAGCGCTACCCATATGAAGGTCCTGTTGCTGCTGGTGCTGCTGCTGCTGCAGCACAGGAAAGCGGCGACGACTTTCAACGGCAACGTCCGCTGCTGCTGCAGCAGCAGCAGCAACGGTTGCAGCGGCTGCAGGAGCAGCTAGAGGAGACAGCAGCAAGGGAAAGACGACGCATGCATCAAGACATAGAAAGGTTCCATACAGTCAGCAGCTACATCAGCAGCAACAGCAGCAACTGCAGCAGCAATCTGCGGCAGCTGCTGCAGGGGCCTTCAGGCCCCTCTTCTTCATCAGCAGCTGCCTATACACCCCATGGAGCTGCCTATGCAACTAAAGGAGCTGCCTATACACCCCAAGGAGCTGCCTATACACCCCATGGATCTGCCTATACACCCCAACTTTCTCTTTCCTCTGCATCCACCCCTCTAGACTTCTTTGAAGAAGACTCATAGCACACATACTTAAACTGCTGCTGCTGCTGCGGCAGCTGCTGCTGTTGCTGTTGTTGCTGCTGCTGTTGCTGCTGTTGTTGCTGCTGTTGCTGCTGTTGCTGCTGTTACCGCCAGCAAATCGCTTCTCTTCGGCAGCAATAGATTCATGGGTCCCTCAAGGCCTGTGTAGGGTTTAGGGTTTAGGGCGGAGTCTGGGGTTTAAGGTTTAGGGCTACGTCTAGGGTTTAGGGTTGAGCAAGTCTAGGGTTTAGGGTTGAGCAAGTCTAGGGTTTAGAGGTCTAAATCTAGGGTCTAGGGTTTATAGATATGAATCCTGTGTCTATGTATCTAAATCTAGGGTTTAGGGTTTAGGGTAGAGGGAAGGTGTAGGGTTTGGTCTAAATGTAGTGTTTAGGGTTTAGAGCAAAGTCTAGGGTTTAGGGTTTAGAGGGTGGAGACAGGAAGACGCCAAAAAGAAATGTGAGCAACCCAAGAAATTCCTGCTGCTGCAGCAGCAGCCCTGCCTCCTAGGCAGTGTGCTGCTGCTGCTGCTGCTGCTGCTGTTGCTGCTTCTGTTGCTCCTTCAGCAACAGCTACCTAGCTAGACGACGCAGCAACTAGCAGCATGCAGGCTACCCAGCTAGCTAGCTAGCTAGCTAGTTACCTAACCGCTAGCTAACTACCTTACAGCTAGCTAGCTAGCTAGCTAGCTAACAGCTAGCTAGCAGGATAGGGTGCTCTATAGTTAAGCTCCAGCAGGGCGAGCAGCAGCAGAACGCTGTGACTGCTGCTGTTGCTGCTGCTGCTGCTGCGGGTCCACGTAACCTACTGGATGGGCAGCAAACGCGTGGACCCCGTAGTCTGCCTGCTGCTGCAGCTGCTGCTGCTGCAGTTGCTGCTGCTGCAGCTGTTGCTGTTGGAGCTGTTGCTGTTGGAGCTGTTGCTGCTGCAGCTGCTGCTGTTGGAGCTGCTGCTGCTGCAGTTGCTGCTGCTGCAGTTGTTGCAGCTGCCGGTGGTGCTGCAGCTGGTGCTGCTGCTGCAAGTGTTGCTGCTGCAACTGCAACCGCTGCTGATGCTGCAGGTGCTGCTGCTGCTGCTGTGCCGCAGCAGCAGCAGGGATATTTCCTACAGCCCCCTGAGGCGCATGCATCGCGCCCGGCCCTACAGCAGCACCTACTACACCAGTTTGCTGCTCTGCAGCAGCAGCAGCAGCAACAGCTGCAGCACCACCCTTTGATTGCTGCTGCTGCGGTCTCTTAGAACGAGACGTACTTTTGCTGCTCTTGCTGCCAGTAGACAGCTGCCTCTGGCTTGCTGCAGGCAGCGTTTGCTGCTGCAGATGCTGCGGTTGCTGCTGCAGTTGCTGCTGCTGCAACTGGTGCTGCTGCTGCAGGTGCTGTGGTTGCTGCTGCAGTTGTTGCTGCTGCAGCTGTTGCAGCTGCTGATGCTGCAGATGCTGCTGCTGTTGAAGCTGCTGCTGTCTAAACTGCTGTTGCTGCAGCTGCTGATGCTGCAGATGCTGCTGCAGTTGTTGCTGCTGCATGTGCTGCTGGTGCATCTGCTGTTGCTGCAGTTGTTGCTGTTGCAGCTGTTGCTGCTGCAAGTGCTGCAGTTCTGCTGCTGTGCCATTTAGCTGCTGCTGCTGTGGCATACCAACTGCATAGTAGCCCGGTTGCTGCTGCTGCTGCGGTGGCCCGAAGGCAGTTGGCTGCATCTGCTGCTGCTGCTGCAGCCGTTGCTGCTGTTGCTGCTGCTGCTGTGGCACAGCAGCAGCTGCAAACCGAGGCTGAGCGTGCTGCGGTGCTGCTGCAACAAATCGCTGCTGCTGCTGCTGCTGAGCAGCAAACGCATTCTGATCATGGCATATTAGCTGCTGCTGCTGCTGAGGGTGAAGCTGCTGCGGATGCAGCTGCTGCGCATGTAGCTGCTGCTGCTGCAGGTGTTGCTGCTGTAGCTGCTGGTGCTGCAGCTGCTGGTGTTGCAGCTGTTGTTGGTGCTGTAGCTGCTGATGCTGCAGTTGCTGCTGCTGCAGCTGCTGGTGCTGCAATTGCTGCTGCTGCAGCTGCTGCTGCTGCTGAGGGGAGAAGTGCCTCTGTGTTCCATCAGCTGCCTGAAATGCTGCTTGCTGCTGCAGATACACCTGGTGCTGCTGCTGCTGCAGCTGCTGCTGCGGCGTAAAGGCTTGCATAGGTGTTGCACCAAGGGCCTGCTGCTGCTGCTGCAGATTGCCATCTGCTGCTGTTGCTTGTGTCAGGTGTGCTGCTGCAGCAGGGTAAGGGGACAGCTGCTGCTGCTGTTGCGGTGGGGCCTGCAAGTACATAGGCCGCTGAAACTGCTGCTGCTGCTGCTGCTGCTGCGCTGCTGCATCTGCAGCATCCTCGCTTGACTGCTGCTGCTGCTGGGGCTGCACATAAGGGGGGCGCGAAAACATCTGCTGCTGTTGCTGCAGTTGCTGGTGTTGCAGCTGCTGCAGCTGTTGCTGCTGCAACTGATGCTGCTGCAGCTGTTGCTGTTGCAGCTGCTGTTGCTGCAGCTGCTGCAGGTCATACGCGCCCTCAAGCTGCTGCTGCTGAGGTGCATGCCCTTTGCCGCCATAAGCTAAAGGCTGGTGGTGCTGCTGCAGCAGCATGTGCTGCTGCTGCTGCTGCATCAACATAGGAACCGCGTGCTGTTGTGCTGCAATCCAGTGCTGCTGCTGCTGCTGGCGCAGTTGCTGCTGCTGCTGCTGAAGGAGCGGCTGCTGCTGTTGATGGGGGCCGGGAAGCAGGTGCGTCTGCTGCTGCAACGGACCGCTTGCAAGCATGTGTTGCTGCTGCTGCTGCTGTTGTTGCACTGGTTGCACCACCCTCGCCATCTGCTGCTGCTGCTGCTGCTGCTGCTGCTGCATGTGCTCAGGCAAGAGCTGCTGCGGCTGCTGAGGTAAAAGAGGTGCTCCTGTTGCCGCTGCTGCTGCTGCTGCAGAGTCGCCCTCCATGGTGCCTCCCGCCACAAATTCTGCACACACCCAACCAACCCCAAACCCTAAACCCTAAACACTATACCCTAAACCCTAAACCCTAAGCCCTAAACCCTCAATATCTAGCCTTCCTGCTTTGTCAACAGTTACAAGACACATACCAGCAGTAGGACGTTGTTGCTGTTGCAGCATCTGCTGCTGCTGCAGCATCTGCTGCTGCTGAAGCATTGGCTGCTGCTGCAACATCTGCTGCTGCGGTTGCTGCGGCTGCTGTTGCATTGGCTGCTGCTGCAGCATTTGCTGCTGCTGCTCCCTCATCGCGTCAGAGGGCGAGGAGTCCTGTGGCAGTCCCGCTGCAGCGGGTGCTGCTGCTGCTGCTCCTGGTGCGGCAGCTGCTTGCGGCGCTGCCGTGCTTGCTGCAGAGGCTGCCGCTGCAGCAGCAGCAGCAGCTGCCGCTGCTGCATTCTTCCCATCGCCAGCAGCCTCCTCCCCGCTCCTGCCCTGCAGAGCCAAGACGTACTGCTCCTGCGCGCACAAAAACCCCAAACCCTAAACCCTAAACCCTCGAAACTCAATGGGCGCAACACATCGCCAGGGGTGTCTGTTACCCTATAGGGTTTCGGTTTCCTTCTGCTGCGCTTCTAGGGTTTAGGCTTTAGGGTTTAGCGCTTACGGGTAGCTGAGGCTTCCGAGGATTTGGAGGCATAACACCGCTGCTGCTGAATTGCTGAGTCCCCAGCAGCAGCTGCTGCTGCCGCCCGCGCTGCAGCGCGTGGGTAGCTAGCTGCAGCCAAGGCAGCAGTGTTGCTGCTGCTGCTGCTGCAGCAGCAGCAGCAGGCGTTGTTGTGGCTCCTGCTGCTGTTGCTGCTGCAGGGCCCGACGGTGGGGTTGCTGCTGCTGCTGCTGGGGCCGATCCAGCCGATGCTTCGCTTGGCGTTGCAGGTGCAGCAGCAGGAGCAGCCCCAGCAGCAGCAGGAGATGTTGCTGCTGCTGCTGCTGGCGGAGTTGCAGCTCCTGCTGCTCCTGCTGTTGTTGTTGTTGTTGCTGCTGCTGCTGGTGGTGTTGCAGGCGTTGTCTTCGCTGGTTCTGCTGCTGCAGCATCTGCTGCCTTGTCGCCTCTTTCAGACAGTGCCTGAAAATACAAACCCTAAACCCTAAACCCTAGACCATAAACCCTAGCCTCCCTAAACCCTCAACTGTCCTACGCCGTCTAGGGTTTACGGGTAATACGTTCTTGTAGTTTAGGCAGAATTCGTGTTGTGGGGTTTATGAGGAGGGTTTAGACTCCAGGGTTTAGAACCTTAGCAGGGTTTAGGGTTTGGGGTTCATTAGTGTTTAGGGTTTATTAGGGTTTAGGGTTTATGCTCACAAAATGACGGCGAGCCTGCTTTGCTAAGTTGTGGTGAGAAGGATGAGGAGGAGTTATCACCTTAGGGTCCGCGCCTGCAACACAAACCCTTGACCGTAAACCCTAAACCCTAAACCCTAAACCCTTTCTCCTAGCCCAACAATCTACGTAAACGCCACGAAAGGAAACCCACCAAACCCTAAACCCTAAACACTAATAAACCCTAAACCCTACCTGCTGGTAAGAGGCTACGGATATGAAGGGCTTCCTGCTGCTGCTGCACCGCTAGCCTTCGCCGCATGCTGTTGCTGCAGCGGCAAATAACTGCTGCTGCAGCACGCAGGCCAGCACACTGCAGCAGCAGCAGCAGCAACAGCAGCACAAGCAGCAAATGCAGCGCATGAGAAACACATGCGGCTGCTGCATACCAAACCCTGAACCCTAAACGCTAAACCCTAAAGACGCCCAAGCCCCAACCCTAGCCACGCATCTCCGCACCCTAAACCCTAAACCCTAAACCCTAATAAACCCTAAACCCTAACCCTAACCTGCTGGGGGTCTACTGGAGGTTCTGCAGAAGGCGGCGGAGGAGAGGAGTGAAGGAAGGCCCAAGCAGAGACACCCCAAGCAGCAAAGCTGCGGGCCCCCATATCTGCAGCAAAACACCAAGGGTTTAGGGTTTAGGGTTTAGCTACGAACGTCTGGGTTCTATATATAAGATGCTGCTGCTGCTGCTGCTGCTAATGCTGCTGCTGCTGCTTACCATGAATGGCCTTGTAAAGCGAATGCTTCCGCCTCTTTGCTGCTGGAATGCAGCTGCTGCTGCTGCTGCTGCTACTGCTGCTGCTGCTGCTGCTGCTGTCGGTGATGCTTAATCTTTTCTCTTTAGCCCTCAACCGCAAATGTAAACCCTTAAGAGGGCAGAGGGAAGAAACAATTTGCTGCAGCGCCTCTTCGTTGGCGTCATCTGTTGCTGCTGCTGCTGCACCTGCTGCACCTGCTGCACCTGCTGCTGTACCAGCATCAGAAAACCACAGCCGCTGCTGCTGCCGTTGCCGCACCTGCTGCTGCTGCTGCTGCTGCTGCTCCTGCACGCGGGTAGGAGCGCTATCCCAATCCAATGAAAAAGATTTTATGCGAGGAACCAATACTTGACTATCGTCTTCATCCTGCTGCTGCTGCTGCTGCTCTTGCTGCTGCTGCTCTTGCTGCTGCTGCTGATGCAGCTTCTTAAAGAGACGCAGCTCGGACTCTAAGTCGCTAGGAAGAGAAAAGATGCGACTTGCTGCTGCTTCTTCCTCTACAACGACAGCAGCAGAAGGCAGCTGCAGCGACGGACTCGTGCTGCTGCTGCTGCTACTACTACTGCTATTGCTGCTGCTGCTGTTGCTGCTGCTCGTTGTGCTGGTAGTAGTAGATTCTTCCTCTTGTTTTGTTTCCCCAGGCCCTGGTAGTGCTTTCTTATCAAGCAGCATGAGCTGCTTTTGCTGCTTCCTCTGCTGCAGCAGCTGCTGCTTCCGCTGCTGCAGCAGCAGGAACTGACGGGGTCTAAAAGGCAGCAGCAGCTGATAAGAAGTTTTATCCAAATCAGCAGCAGCAAAACCACCAAAGGAGCAGCTAGCTGGCATACACTGCATAACAAAAAACAAACAACAAACATAAACCCTAAACCCTAAACCCTAAACCCTAATTCATTAACCCTAAACCGTAAAAAAAAAAAAAGGAGGAAAAAGCATACGAAGGCACAACCAAGCAAATAAAACAAATAAATAAATAAATAAATAAAACAAATAGAATAAACAAATAAATATATGAATAAATAAAAAAAGAAAAAAATCCTTTCTTACCCTAACAACAACATCTGCATCCGTAAAGGATCGTCGCTGCAGCAGCAGCAGCAGCAGCATAGGGTGCCGCATCTCCTTCGGTGTCTGCTGCAGTTGCTGCAAATGCTGCAGCAGCACGATGTATTGTCTCTTGCATTCTTCTGCTAATCTTAATCGGGAGACAATAGCACCACAGGAACCAGCAGAGGAGAGGGCACTAGCAACAAGACTCCAATTTATATCGTTGCTGCTGCTGCTGCTGCTGCTGCTGCTGCTGCTGCTCATGCCAGGCATTGGCTTAGCTACACCTGGTCCTGCTGCTGCAGTAGCAGGAACGGAAGAAAACCATGCGCGGGGCATGTTTGTATACCCCATGCTGCTGCTGTAGCTGCTGCTGCAGCTGCTGCCAGCAAAACGACCTGCAAGATGCAGCAGCAAAGCTGACTCATGCAGATCCCATTGCTGCTGTTGCTGCTGTTGGCTACGCCGCTGCAGCAGTGTCTCGTTGTCGTGTGCAGCTGCAGCTGCAGCTGCAGCAGCAGCAGCTGCTGCTGCTCTGTCCGCATCCGCTGCTGCTGCTTCCACTGGCACTCCTCCAGCCCGACGCCCACGCTGCACAGACACAGCAGCAGCAGCAGCAGCAGCAAACAGACAATTCAATTGCTGCTGCTGCTGCACCAATAATACCCCCAACAGCAGCAGCAACAACACCAGCAGCAGCAATAACAACTCACCGCATCATACACAGACATCTTGCCTGCCCCTTGTCTCCTTAATGTATCTCCATATGCTGCTGCTGCTGCACCACGATCTGCTGCTGCTGCTCCCCAGCCTGCTGCTGCAGCTCCGTGCTGCGGCGGCTGGGTTGCTGGGCTTGCTGCTGGTGGTGCACCTATCATGGGTCCCGCTGCAGCTGCTGCCGCTGCTGCTGCTACTGCTGCTGCTGCCTCTCCCTGAGCAGCAGCACCATCGGACTTCTTCATGCTGCTGAACTGCTGCAGCAGCAGCCGGACGCAGCGCCGCCAGCAGCCACCTGTTGCTGCACACACAGACAGCAGCAGCAGCAGCAGCAGCATGTGCAGCTGCAACAGTAGCAGCAGCAACAGCACCACAACTACCACCACAACCGCCATCACCAGCAGTAGCAACAGCAACAGCAACAGCAACAGCAGCAGCAGCAACAGCAACCGCTTACTGAATGCAGGTAGCGTAATAAGGTCAACAGGCAGCTGTGGTGGTCTTAACTCAATGGGGTGTACGTACACCCCTTGCTGCTGCTGCACATTATCTAGCATACAAGAGACAGCTAAGGAACGTAGCTGCTGCTGTCTCTTTTCTTCTGCTGCTGCTGCTGCAGCTTCTGTTGATTGTTGCTGCTGTTGCTGATGGTGCTGCTGATGGTGTGGGTGCTGCTGCAGCTGTTGGTGCTGTTGCTGATGCTGCTGTGGGTGTTGCTGGGGTTGCTGCTGTTGCTGCTGCTGTTGCTGCTGCTGTTGCTCGTCTTCCGCCTGCGGAGGTAGCAGCAACAGCTGCTGCTGCTGCTGCCTCTTGCGTGGTGGATGCTGCTGCAGCTGCTGCAGCGGCTGCAGGTTGTGCAGCAGACCAGCAGCAGCAACAAAAGCAGCGGGAGCAGCAGCAAACATGTTCAATACTAGAGGATGCTGCTGCTGCAGCAGCTGCTCCTGCTGATAATATAACCAATCATCTAATGTACGACGACATGCTGCTTCCTCCTCGTCGCTGTAGCTGCTGCTGCTGCTGCTGTACTTTGCTGCTGCTGCTGCTGCTGCAGAAACCCCACAGATACACACACAGAAGTAAAACATGTTCCCACCGCTAAGTTTGCACGAATATTGCTGCTGCTGCTGCTGCAACAGCAGCAGCAACACTGGTCAGCTACGTAGCAGTAACACAGCAGCAGCACAAAGAGCATCAGCAGCAGCAGCAGCAGCAGCAGCAGCAACAAAAGGATGCCATACATTGAAGCGATTGCTCCTCTTTGACGATGACTGCCCCCTTTAGCTGCTGCTGCTTTGCTGCTGCTGTTGCTGCTGCTGCTCCACCGCGTCCTGCTGCTGCTGCTGCTGCTGCTTCACACTCCACCTTGCGGGTGGTAAGGAGACACAAAAGATATGCATGCAGCTGCGGAGACAGCTGGCAGCAACGAGGAGACAGTGGCTGCAACACAGCAGCAGCAACAACACAAACAGCACATTATAGCCTCAGGAACAGCAGCAGCAACAACAACAAGAGCAACACACACAGCTAAATCAGTAACAGCAGCAGCATTTGTTGCAGCAGCAGCAACAGCAGCAGCGTACCTGTGTAGCAGCAGCTCTATTGCTCTCAAGCTGCATCACGACTGCTTCTGCTGCTGCAGCAAGAGGTGACTGTACAGCCCAAGCAGCAGGAGCCTGAGGCCTCCAAGGGAGACCCAAGCTGCTGCTGCTGCTGCTACTGCTGCTGCTGCTTGCCAAGTGGTAGAGACACTGTCTCTTAATCTTCTCTATCATGACGAGGCGTTGTGCTGCACCGTCAGGTTGCTGCTGCAGCTGCTGCAATAGCAGCTGCTGCTGCAGTGGCAATTGCTGCTGCAAAAAAGGAGGCAACAGCTCGTCCTCCTCCATATCCTGCTGCTGCTCCTGCTGCTGCTGCTTCTGCTGCCGCTGCTCTACCAGCTGTCTGTACACCTCAATACCAGGGCAATTTCCTATAGGAGGGACATCTGCTGCTAAAGGCGTCAACTCAGCAGGCACAAGGTCCCTATACACCTGAATACAGCAGCAGCAGCAGCAACAGCAGCAGCAGCAGTAGTAGCATAAGGTGTAGCAGCAGCAACAACAAAACAACTGCAAAAGAAACAACAACAACCACCACCACAGAGAAACAGCAGCAACAACAACAGCAGCAACAACAACAACAACAACAGCAGCAGCAGCAGCAGCAGCAACAACAGCAGCAACAGCAACAGCAGCAGCAGAATGCGTACCTGCCGACAGATTGCAATATAGAGTGTCTCAACAGCAGCAGCCCAAGGTGCAGCAATAATTCTTCTCTCTTCCTGTTTCTGCTGCAGCCATTTGAATCTTTTTGCTGCTGCTGCTGTGCTGCCTAAGCGCAGCAGCAGCTGCTGCTTCCATTTCCTCTCATAGTAGTAATCACGAGCCATCCATGCTGCTTCCTGCTGCAGCAGGGAGAGGAAGGAGCGCTGCAGCAAGGGTCCTTGCTGCTGCGGTACTTCTAATACAAATGGCTTCCTCCTTGTTGTGCTGCTGCTACTGCTGCTGCTTACCGTGCTGCTGCTGCTGCTGCTGCTTATGCTGCTGCTGCTGCTACGCTGAACAGAACAAGGGGCGACAAGGGGCTGCTGATGCAGCGGATGAGAACGTGTTGCAGGACCTGCTGCTGTTGCTGCTGCAGCAGCAGCTGCTGCTGTTGGTGCTGCTGCTGCTGCATGCGGTACTTGAGGGTATACAAGCTCTTGCGAATGGTGGGGTTGCTGCTGCAGAGGCTGATGTAGCTGCTGCTGCAGTTGCTGCTGTTGCTGCAACTGTTGCTGTGGCTCCGCACATACTGCCTGCTGCACGTAAGGTTGCTGCTGTTGCTGCTGCTGCTGAGGTGGAGCTACAGCAGCAGGAGCAGCAGCAGGCAGCTGCTGCTGCTGCATCCCCCATCCAGTAGAATGACTGTTGCGCCGCTGCTGCTGCTGCTGCCAGTGCAGCATAGCTTGCTGCTGTTGCATCTGCTGCTGCTGCATCTGGTGCTGTTGCTGCATCTGATGCTGCTGCTGCATTTGGTGCTGCTGCTGCATCTGATGCTGTTGCATCTGCTGCTGCTGCAGTTGCTGCTGCTGCATCTGCTGTTCAGGGTATGGGGACCCCGCCAAACCAGAAGCTGTTGTTGCCTGTGCTGCAGCAGCAGGCGATCCTGCTGCTGCTGCTGCTGCTGCTGGAGACCCTGCACCCCACACAGCACCTGCAGGAACTCCTGGAGCAAGCTGCTGCTGCTGCTGCTGTTGCTGCTGCTGCTGCAGTGGAGCTGCAGTCATGAGGTGCGGCTGCTGGTTCTGCTGCTGCTGCGGGCCTCCAAAGGCAGCAAACCCTGCAGCAGCAGCAGCAGCTGCTGCTGCTGCAGCAGCAGGATAAGGGCTGCTGCCTGCTGCAGGTCTCCCATAATAAGCAGCAGGCGTGGGGTTGCATGCATAAGGCCCTGAGTAACGAAGGGATCCAGCTGCTCCCCCTGCTGCTGCTGCTGCTGCTGCTGGATCAGCAGCAGCAGCAGCGTGCCCTGACAATGCTCCGTATGTCTGCATGTGGCGACCTGCGAGCATTTGCTGCTGCTGCTGCTGCTGCTGCGGGTTGACAGATATTCCTCCTGCTGCTGCTGCTGCAGGAGCGTAAGAAGCAGAAGCAAAGCCCGCAGTTGGTGGTGGCTGTGCTGCTGCTGCTGCTGCTGCTGTAGCATTGGAGTCACTATTGGTACGTTGCTGCTGCGGCGCTGCAGCATTAGCAGTAGCATATCCCATGTGCTGCTGCTGCTGCTGCTGCTGCGGCTGCTGCTGATTAGGCAGCGGCGGCAGCCCCAATGCTGCAGCAGCACCCCAAGGAGAAGCCTCCTGGATATATACAGCACCCCCTAAGGTTTGCTGCTGCTGCATGTGCTGCTGCTGCTGCTGCTGTTGCTGCTGCTGCATGTGCTGCTGCGGCTGCTGCATGTGATGCTGCTGCGGCTGCGGCTGCTGCATGTGATGCTGCTGCGGCTGCTGCATGTGATGCTGCTGCTGCTGCATGTGCTGCTGCTGCTGTTGCATGTGCTGCTGCTGCTGCTTGTGCTGCTGCTGGTGCAGCAGTTGGTGCTGCTGCGCTGATGATTCCAGCGGGTTGTGCTGCTGCGGCTGCTGCTGTTGCTGCTGCGGTTGCTGCTGCTGCTGCTGGACACAGCCCTGCTGCGGGGGCCCCGCGAAGACTACAGCTGGTGCAGCAGCAGCAGCACGCTGCTCTTCATGCTGCTGAAGCTGCTGCTGCTGCAGCACCTGCTCCTGCTGCATGGCGCGCTGCCGTTGCTGCTGCGGCAGTCAACGCTGATGCTTCTCCTGCTGCTGCTGCCAAAGCACTCGCTGTTGCTGCTGCTGCAGCACCTGCTGCTGCAGCAGCTGCCGCTGGCGCCTTGGAAGGCCGCACAGAGCGTTTGCATGGGTCGTTGTCAGAGATTTTGCTGCTGCTGCTGCTGCTGCTGCTGCGGCTGCTATTGCAGCAGCAGCTCCTGCTGCAGCAAAGGACAGAAAGGTGTGCTTATGCACACAGCAGCGGGAGTGTGTTTATATGGACTGTTGACGACTTGCTGCAGCTGCTGCAGCTGCTGCTGCTGCAGCTACTGCAGCACCTGCTGGTGAAGGTACTACTGTAGCTACGACTACTGCAGCAACTACTGCAGCTGCTGCAGTTGCTGCTGCTGCTGCTGCAGCAACAGCTGTGTCTCCTGAGGGGCCCCCAAGTGTGCTGCTGAGGGGCAGCTAATCCCCTCACAGCTGCGTTAAGGAAAAGGAGGGGGGCCCCCTTGGTTAATGTATGTGAAAGCAGCAGCAGCAAGAGGCCGCTGTGGCTGCTGCTGCTGCTGCAGTTGCTGCTGCCGCCGCAGCTGTGTCGCTGCTGCTGCTGTTGCTGTTGGAGGCAGCAAGAAGAATGGCGGTGCGTGTCTTTTGGGGGACCTTGAGGATAAGGCGTTCCCGGAGGGGGCACACAGCAGCAAGCTACTTGCTGCTGCTGCTGCTGCTGCTGCTGCTGCAGCTGCGCCGCTGCTGCTGCTCTCTTGTCGCTGGCGCCTCCACAGCAGCTACTTGCTGCTGCTGCTGCAATTTAATAGCCAAAAAATCATAAGGGTTTTGTAGCTGGAGGGGCCCCCAAGGAGTCGTCTGCAGCCCCCCACAGCAGCAGCAGCAGCAGCTGCTGCTGCTGCTGCTGCTGCTGTCAGCGCGCCTCGTAAGGGCCCCCTCGTCGTTTTTTTATTTTCTTTTTTTTCTATCTTTCTTATTTATTTAATTTTATTTTATTTTTATAAAATAAAAACAAATATATAAAAGAAAGCGTTTTTATTGGTCTATAATAACCCCTACCCCGCTGTTGCTGCTGCTACTGCAGCAGCAGCAGCAAATTGCTGCAGCAGCAACAACAGCAGCAGCAGCAGCAGCAGACGTGCTTTCAGCACTCTCTAAGTGACTAATCTTTTTGCTGTTTTGTTTCTATTTTATTATTTTATTCATTTTATTTATTTTATTCTTTGCTGCACATTAAATCCCTACTTTTATACAAACGCACCCTGCCTGCCGCCCTGCTCAGGCGAGCAGCAGCAGCAGCAGCGGCAGCAGCAGTGGCTGCTGCTGCTGCCGCGGCTGCAATTGCAGTTGCTGCTAGGAGAGCTACAATAGCAGCGGCTGCAGCAATAGCTCCTGCTGCTGCTGCTGCAACAGGAGCAACAGCTAATGCAGCAATAGCAGCAAAGGACCCGTCGTGCTGGGGGCACTGCGACGCATGCACACGGGTGCTTATGGCCTAGTATCCCTCCTGCTGCTGTTGCTGTTGCTGCTGCTGCTGTTGCTGTTATTGCTGCTGTTGCTGCAGGTGCCGTGGTAGTTACTGCTGTTGCTGCACACCTTGGTGGGGGTTCTTGTGTACATAGCTATGTTGCTGCTGCTGTTGTTGTAGGGCTTGGTGCTGCTGCTGCTATAGGGCTTGGTGCTGCTGCTGCAGAGCTTAGTGCTCCCGTACATATTACTGCTGCTGCTGTATATCTTGCTGCTGCTGTAGACATTGCTGCTGTTGTAGATCTTGCCTGTCTTGTGTGCAAGCGGCGAGACAGCAGGCTGCACGTACACCCCAATAATACACCTACTATTTGCTGCTACTGCAGTTGCTGCTGCTGCACATGCTGCTGCTGCAGTGCTACAGTAAGAAAATGCACTGTCTACGCACTTTTCTCTGCTAGTGCTGCTGCTGTTGCTGCTGCTACTGCTGCTGCTGCTGGTTTGGCGGTTCTGCTGCCCCCCGATGCCTCAGCAGAGAGTGGCCGCTGCCTTTGCTGCTGCTGTTGCTGCTCCTCCTCCTTTGTTTGCTGCTGCTGTTGTTGTATGTACGGGGACAGACACCGCAGCAGCGTTCCTGTAGGTGCAGCAGCAGCACCGGATGCAGCACCATTAGCAGCAGCAGCAGCAACAGCAGCGGCTACTTTAGACGGGCGTCTACGTGACGTTCTTTGCTGCACACACGAGACAGGAGGCTAAACCCTAAACCCTAATTTGTCACCTTCTCCTTAGGGTTTAGGGTTTAGTGTAAAGTGCAGTATCCGCTGCTAGGGTTTAGGGTTTAGAGCAGCACTTCCTGCAGCACAGCATATCAGCCTAGCACTGGTGCCTCCTAGGGTTTAGGGTTTAGGGTTTAGAGCAGCACCTGCTGCAACAACTCTGCCTGCCGCTGCTCATGCAGCAGCTGCCGCTCTCCGTATGCCTCCCACCAGTGCTGCAGTTGCTGCAACTCTAGCTGCCTGCAAGCAGCAACAGCAGCAGCAGCAGCAGCAACTGCAGCAAGATTGCAAGATTTAGCGGCAGGAAGCAGATGCAACACCTGCACATCGCGTCAGGAGAGGGGGAGCAGCAGCAGCACATCAGCAGCAGCACAAGCAGCAGCAGCAGAGGTTACCTTTGTCCTATTTGCTCGTACTTTTGCTGCAGCTGCTGCATGCGTTTATAGAGCGTTTCTTTGTGTCTTTCCCGTTGCAGCAGCAGCAGTTGCTGCTGCAGCAGCTCAACTCTCTCAGCTGCTTCTTCCTCAGCCTCCTTCGTCTTCTGTTGCAGCAGGACATCCAGAAACCCTAAACCCTAAAACGTAAGTCTCCAGCATTGAATGGTAACTAAGAGTCTAAGACGAAGAGCTAGCGCCTAGGCTTTAGGGTTTAGGGTTTAGGGTTTAGGGTTTGGTGGTTAGTCCTCACTTTAAGGTCTTCAGACACTCGAAGCAGCTCTGCGCCAACAGCCAGCTGAATCACCAACACCCAAACCCCTAAACCCTAAACCCTAAAACAGAGAATTATTTAAACCTCTACATCTCCAACGAGACAGGTCTTAACCTGGGGTTTAGGGTTTAGGGTTTAGGGTTTACTGTTTCCTCGTCAATGAACTCGTCGATTACTGCCTCTTCCTGTTCTCCCGCCACTGAATCCTCTGTAGCAGCACGCAAACCCTAAACCCTTCCCCATAAACCCTAAACCCTAAACTCTAAACTATGGGGGGAGTCCGCAGAAGGATTGCCCTTGTGCTGCTCTTACCTGTACAAGAAGATAGAAGTTGTCTTTTGCTGCAGCAGCAACAGCACAAACATCTTACCTCTAAACCCTAAACACTAAACCCTAAACCCTAAACACTGAGTAGATCGGCAGTGTGTGCTCACTCGGCATCTGTGAGTTGTTGAATGGCGGCCTTGAGATCATCTTCTTGTTCCTGTACAATCCAAACCCTAAACCCTAAACCCTAAACCCCAAACCCTAAACCCCTAACCACTGCAGAGCTCATCAAAAGGCTGGTGGGGACTGCATGCGGCTAGCTAGCCCTCCCGTTTCCTGTTTAGGGTTTTAGAGTTTAGGGTCTAGGGTCTAGGGTTTAGGGTTTACAAGAATGGTGTGGGTGGCTTCATCTATACTTCGCTGCAGCTGCAGAGACAGCTGAGTGTTTGCTGCTGCTGCTGCTGCTGCTTCCTTTATCTTTGCTGCTGTTGCATTTATTGCTGCTGCAGTAGCAGCTTCTGCTTCCTCCAACTCTACCACCTGCAAGCACCAAACCCTAAACCCTAAACCCTAAACGGGGTTCTGTGGCACCGCCCTTACCAAATCAGATAAGCAGCAAAAGAGGAGAAGCAGCACCAACAAGGGAATTGCATGCAAACCCTAAACCCTAAACCCTAAACCCTCACAGCTCGGTCAGTAGCGAATTGGTGTTTCCTCAACGCCTGTCGCAATTTCTCTGCTTTTTGCCGCTGCTGCTGCTGCAGTTGCTGCTGCAGTTGCTGCTGCAGTTGTTGTTGCTGCTGCCTATACAGTTCGACATGCTGCTGCAGAGGGTTTGCTTCTGTCGCACATTGAGCAGACCAGCTTTGTATTTGCTGCTGCACTTGCTGCTGCAGTTGCTGCTGCAGTTGCTGCTGCAGTTGCTGCCTGTCGTCCACCCGTGGCGTGTCGCTGCTGCAGGAGGTGCTGCTGCTAGGTCGGCAAGAGATGCTTCGTCTGTAGAAGCAGACCTTCAACGCACCGTTAGGGGCCCCAGGGGCCCCCTCTGGGGTACCCAGTGAATCAGGTGTGCCCCCAGCAATGGAGGGGTCCCCAACCCCAGCATGAGTGGGGCCCACAACATGATGGGGGGCCCTTGGTACGTGGGAAGAGTACAGGCGCAGGCTATTGCAGTGGGCGTTACTGACACGAGTGCTGCTGCTGCTGCTGCTGCTTTTGCACGTGCTGCAGCTCCGCGCACGCAGACGGTTGAATTCTGGTGTCTGCTGCTGCTGCTGCTGCTTCTGTTGCTTCTGTTGCTTCTGTTGCCTCTGTTGCTGCTTTCCTTGCTGCTGCTCCCTGTGCTGATGGCAGCAGCAAGGTTTACTAAAATGGCAGATACTATCTGCAGCAAAGGCAACGCTTAAATCGCTCATCAAGGCCACACTCTTCGCTCTACTAGTTGCTGTTTGTGGCTGCTGCTGCTTCTGCTGCAGCTGTGTTGCTGCTGCTGCATCTATGTTGCTGCTTCTGCAGCTATGTTGCTGCTGCTGCAGCTATGTTGCTGCTGCCGGGCAGCTGATGTTCTGCTTCAGCTCGGAAGCTGCTGTGTTGCTGCGACTGCCGCAGCACCTGCTTCTGCAGGGTATGTACGTCTAGAGTGAGAGAGAGCAGCAGAAGCAGAGCAGCAGAAGCAGAAGCAGCTTCTGCTGCTGCTGCAGTTGTTGCTGTTGCTGCTGCTAAAGCAGCAGTGGGGTCCTAAGGAAATGGAGGCGACTGGGCGTTCAGCTGCTTTATGCCCCTCTTAGGGGCCCATGCGTCTCCTTTAAAGGGTAATCTTATCATTAAAGAAATGAAACTAAATAATAAAACAAATTGGGCAATTAAATGAAAGAAAAAGAGGAGAAGAGGGGGAGGAAAAGAAGGCAATGGTCCTCGTGCTGCTGCTGTCGTCGGCGGCGGACTGGTGGGGGGAGGAAGAAGGCAGCAGCAATATCTTATTATAAATTAAATAATTTGTCTTGATTTTTTCCTGCTTTTTACTTTTTATTTTATATTTTTATTTAATTTATTAAGTTTTTTACTTATTTAATTAAAATTTTCCCCTCTTGTCGTCTCTATTTGCTGCTTGTGGCGGGCGGTCGCCACGGGGGTCCGTTAGATTATGGGGGGGGGGCCCCCACAGAGGAGGAGAAGAGGAAGAAATAAATTAAAAATAGATCATTGTTTATGTTGATAGATTAAAATGATATTAATTAATTAATTAATTAAATATTATTTGTTTATATTTGTTAACAGAAAGGGAATTAACGCAGCTTTCCTCCTATTACGCTATGCATCGGTATTTGCATAAAACCCCCTAAAATCTCCTTTAATGTTCTTCTTCTTTTTTCTTCTTTAGGGGGTACAATAAACGAATTTAAGGACGAAGAAGGAGGCGTGGGAGGAGGAGCAAGATAAATATGTTTTTGTAGTCTTTTTTTGCCTACAGGCACAAGCCTGGTACGAAAAAGCGTAAAAAGATATACAATTATATATATGATTATATGAATAACTCTCTATACACGCATAAACCCTAAATTAGGGTTGAATAACGCTATTATTAGGGTTTAGGGTTTAGGGTTTAGGGTTTACATACCCATAAGGAGGAGTGTCTGCGTAAACAATATTCTTTGATTCGATGTTTTGTTGCATTAAACCCTGAATTGATTCTCCTTCTTCTCCTTTATTTTATTTATTTAATAAATAAATATAATTAATAATATTATATTATTTAATTTGTTTAATTTATATATAAATGATAATATTATATACTTTTATTTATTTATATTTATTATATACTTAAGGCAGATATATTGGTTTACCAACGGGGAAGCAAGGAACTTCTTTTCTTTCTTCTTTATAAAAAATAATAAATAAATAAAATAAATAAAATAAATAAATATAAATTACTGTATTTTATTGTGTATATATAAAAAATATCCTTACCTGATAGTTTATATCCTCCTTTTTCTTCTTTTTCTTGTTTTTCTTCTCTTTCTTCTTCTTTAGGAAAGACGTAAGGAATAGCATAACCCCTTCTAAGGGGAAATTGACGATTATTCGTCTTCTCCTCTATATTTACAGGCGTTAATACTTCTATAAATAAATATATAAATAAATAAATAAATGAGTAAAATAAATAACTAAATACTCACCAGTAAGAGGAGGAGGAGCAGGTTTATATATCTCTTGCCTTATCCACGAAGGAGGAATAATATTTAGTGGTCCATCCTTAGAAAACGAAGAAAAAAGGGGAAAAAAGGAGAGAAAGGAAGAAAAAAGAGAAAAAATAATTCTTTTTCTTTAAATTAAATGAATTAAATGTTGTATTTATTGTATTGATTTACTTGTTGTTTATTTATTCCTTGCGCAAGTTCATTATTATTATATACTATTGACCGCATAGCGGTCGCTCCTAATGGATAAATAAAAAGAAAATATATTAATTGTACCGTCATTTATATATTAAATTATAACAATATGACTTTTTTATTCTTTTTATGCAAAAAGGAAGAATTTTTATTCATAATATAATGGCGAATTCCTCTGCTTTCTTTTTCTTCTTTTCCGGGTGTATAGGCACCTCGCAACAAAGGAAAACGTGAATTGCTACATTTATTCATCACTATTAATAATACACTAAAGAGACATTTTCTTATTCTTTAATGTTTCTCCTTTTGCCTATAGTTCTCTACTATTAATTTAATTTAATTAATTTAATATTTAAATAATTTAACTATCTGCATCTGCCTATCTATTTATACATATACAACAAGAACTAAGGGCACTCTGTTCTTCCTGTAACTATAAAAGACTAAAATACATAAAAATAAAATAAAATAATTACATAAACAAAAATAAAGTAAAATAAAATAAAACGGTTAATAAAATTGTTTATATTTTGTGTATTTATGCGGCAAACATTTGTAGTAAATCTTTACTAACAGAGACATTGTTATGATTCAATACATTATTATTATTTTTATTATTTTTATTTTCTTCTTTTCTTATTTTTTTCTTTGGATGCTGAATAACAATTTCTCCTTTATCTGGTGTATACTGAGCAGCAAAAATATTTCTTTTCCCTTCTTCTTTTTCTTCCTCTTCTTCTTCCTCTTCTTCTTTTTGTTTCTTTCTATTAATTCTTTGTATTAATTGTTCTTTATTATGTTTTTTCTCTAATAAATTAATATATGCTTGTGTTTCTTTCTTAACTCTTTGCATTTGTGCATTAATTCTTTCTTGTTTTGTTTGTTTTATATGCATAAAATCATCATAAAGGGAATTAAAAGAAAATTTATTTAAATAAGAAAGAAGAAATAATTGTTGTTGTGCTTTTATATTCTTTTTTTTATTTATTATATATTCACCATTTAATAAATTAACAACTTTTTTTGCATCTTTCTTTCTTTTATATTCTATCCATCCATCTGTATATACACCCCAATTACTCCTTCTTCTTCTTTTATTATTATTATATTTATTATTTATTTCTTTTTTCTTATTTAAATATACTCTTGTTACTTCGCCAAAATATTCAAAATATTTTATAATTTTTTTTCGGCTCCAATTGAAGGGAATTTCTGCAATATAAATAACACCCCTCTTCTTCTCCTCTAATTCACTAACTATATAAGAAGAAGAAGAAGAAGAAGAATTTGTTCCCTTTCCTCCTCCTCCTCCTGCTTCTTCTTCTTCTTCTCCTGCTTCTGCTCCTGTTGGTGGTGGTTCTGTTGTTGGTTGTGCTGTTGCTGCTGTTGTAGCTGTCTCTGATGATGTATCTAACTCTTTGTCTGCTTTAGGCGATTCTTGTTCCTCTTCTGCTGCTGCTGCTGCTGCTGCTGCTGCTGATTCTTCTGCTGCTGCTGTAGAAGACTGTTCTTCTTCATCATCATCTCCTTCTTCTGCTGCTGATGCTGCAGGGGATTGTTCTTCCTCTTCTTCGCCGTCGTCTTCTTCTTCCTCCTCTGCTGCTGATGCTGCAGGGGATTGTTCCTCCTCTTCTTCGCCGTCGTCTTCTTCTTCCTCCTCTGCTGCTGATGCTGCAGAGGATTGTTCTTCTTCCTCTTCGTCTTCTGCTGCTGATGCTGCAGAGGATTGTTGGTCTTCTTCTTCTCCTGCTGCTGCTGTTGCTGTTGCTGCTGCAGTAGAAGGAGAGGGAGAAGAAAGATCCTCTTCTCCCTCTTTTTCTTTATCTGTCATGATAAGGAGGAGGAAAGGAGAGAGAAAGTCCCTTAGTTAAGGGCCCCTAATATAAAGACTAATTGATAAATAAAAGGATTAAATAATGTAAATAAATGTTATTATAACTAAATAATATAATTAATGTTATTTACATAAGGAAAATAAATAAAAATAAATAAAATTTATATATATTTATATGTACAAAGAAAGAATAATTCAAATAATAAAAAGCGTGGGGGCTGCTGCATGCTGCTGCTGCTGCTGCTCCCTCGACACCAAGATCTCTTTTTAAAAGGGAAAAAAGAACTAAATGTTGATTAAAATAAATATAAATACAAATACTAGTAAACTATATATTTATTTTTATGTTTACAGACCCTTTTTTGCATGCAACTCTACGGTGTATGTACAACTATCTATAGGGGCTGCGGCCTATGGGGCCCGCTGCTGCTACAGCCAGTAGAAGATGGTGTTTAATTGTACAATTTAGATTGTATGAAATAAATAAATAAATAAATAAACATAAATAAAGAAGAAGATATTTAATGAGTAAAGAAGAATTATTGTGATTTGTATTTATATATATAATAGGTCATCATTATTCAGGTGTATCGATACCTCGTAGTTATTCATCATCTTCTTATTCTTCTCCTTCTTATTTAATTAAATAAAAAATGATTTTTTTCTTTTCTTTCCTCTTATTAATGACTAATTAAAAGATATTTAAAAGATACAAAAGAAAACAACTCCTATTAAACAAAGAACTCTTAACCCCATACACACAGGAAGCGTAAACCCTAGACCCTACCTCTAGACCCTCCATCCCCAAACCCTACACCCTGCAAACCCTCTAAACCTACCAACCCCTAAACCCTAATAGGACCATACCTGAACGTCCTTGAGACCCGTATACTAACAGAAAACCCTTTACCATTAATAAGAACTATTTCCTTTCTTTTATAAGCATGCATTTCTTTAATATGCATGCATTACCATTTAGGTGTACATACACCCCAAAGCTGCCATGGCAGCCAACGACGATTTTACTGGGGGTTTAGAGGGGGCATACGAAGGACATCTGAACCCTAAGTTACAACGATGTAGAGAAGTTCGTAGATAAACCCTTCACACCACCCTAAACCCTAAACCCTAAACCCTGGCAACTCGCTACGGTGTAGAACGAAGGAATTAGGGTTTAGGGTATAGGGTTTAGGGTTTGTTGTAGTGCAGGTTGCGGCAACACCTCCCCCTAATTGGCGATATACTAAAAATTCTCCTCATGAAGAAGTTGTATTAGAGCAACTTAAACTCTTCGAATCACAGGCGAGGGTTTAGGGTTTAGGGTTTAGGGTTTAGGGTTTAGGGTTTCCTGGTACGACAATATGGAGTTGCGCGTCAGTTCACCGTTTGTTCCCTACCGCATCACTTTTTTTGCTTCTTCTTCCCTGTATATTTAATTAATATAATTAATTAAATTAAATAATTAAATTAAATAAAGTTAATTAATTAAATTAATTAATTATATTTATTTTCTTTTTTTTTGTTGTTATATAATTGCAGTTTAGAGCTTTATACGGGGAGAGATTTTTATTTTTATGTCCGCCGAATGAATTTGGATGTCTAAAATTTGTTTGTTCTTCTCTAAACCCTACACTACTGCCGCACCCGTTAGTCTTATTGCTGCTGCTGCTGCTGCTGCTGCTGTTGCTGCTGTTGCTGTTGTGTGTGGTGCTGTGGTTGGTGCACGTGTTGCTGTTGGCGTTTGTGCCTCTGCTGGTGTTACTGCTGCTGTTGCAGCTGCTGCAGTCCCCGTTTGTTCCCCTGTTTGCTGCTGTCTCAGTAGGATACAACTCATATATACTCCTGCTGCTGCTTCTGTTGCTGCTGTTGTTGTTTCTTTTGCTGTTGCTGCAGGGATTTATATTGTATGGATAGTTTAGCAGCATTTGTTTCTTCTTATTTTGCCTATGAATTATTAAATCCTCCATGTAGATGTCCAGCAATATTACCATCATTGGGGTGTACGTACACCTGGAGAAGAGGTGATTGTTTTGATCTTTCTCTTTTCCTTTCTTCTTGTCTTCTTGGCGCGGGGTTTGATGCTTATTGTGTTGTTGGTACTGCACCTAAACATATTACTACTAATGATCAAGTAAAAAAATGAAAAAAAACAAAAATAAACCCTAAACCCTAAACCCTAAACCCTAAACCCTAAAGTGTAAACCCTCAAATGCAAAATAGTTGCACTTGAGGCGAGGTTATGTGCAGACAGCCGCCAGTATAAACCCTAAATACGCTGATGACGAACAAACGAAACAAAACCCTAAACCATAAACCCTAAACCCTAACCCCTGCTGTCTTATTTAGAGCCAAGATGATTGCCCATATGAACGTACACCTGAAAAACCCGAAGGGACTCAAGACTCCGCCCGTCCAACAACGCGCGCCCAGGTGCAGACTAACTCAAACCCTAAACCCTAAACCCTAAACCCTAAACCCCTAAAATTTCAGGCCTAGTATTCTCGAAACGGCTGACAAGCGAATGCTCGCCAAGGCCAGGGATTCAAGTTGTATGGTCTACGGTTTAGGGTTTAGGTTAGGGTTGTTTACTGTTTAGAGTGTAAACTCTAGGGTTTAGGGTTTAGGTTGGGGTTTAGGGTTTAGGGTTTGCCGGTGAAGGGAGGAGATGACTCTGGAGCGTTTGTAATAGAACTTCCTAAACCCTTGAAGTTCGAAGAATTGGAGAAACTCGCAGAGGAAAGACAAAAAGAAAGAGCCGCACAAGCTGCCGTAAACCCTAAACCCTAAACCCTAAACCCCAGTAGACCCCAAACTACTGTGGGCGGTAAACCCCACGAGGCCCCAAACTGCATGCTGCAGATCATAAACCCTAAACCCTAAACCCTAAATCGTACATCTTCTGTTTTATCATTGTGATTCTTTTAGCCTTTCCTAAAAGATGAACAAGAAGCTGCTGATGCAGCAGCAGCAGCAAAAGCAGCAGCAAAAGATAAATTAAAAGATAAAAGAATTCATTGTTGGGTTCTCGTTAAAGCTGGAAAAAGAAATGTGTCTACAGACCTCTTCATTGATCCTCCTAGCGGTGCCAAACCCTAAACCTTAAACCCTAAACCCAAAACGTACAAATCCTATACGATTCAACCGAAGCAGTTTAACCTTTCGAGTAGTCCAGTCTCTCGTAATGCAGCATCGGGATTTAGATTTTAGGGTTTAGGGTTTAGGGTTTAGGGTTTATGTGGTGTCATATCAGGGAGAATATACGAGCAAAAGAAGAGTCCTTTCCTGTCTGTTCATTTCCTGTGGAACCAGGATAACTTTTGGGTACAGTAAACCCTAAACCCTAAACCCTGGACCCTAAACACTAAAACCCTAAACCCTGGATCCTTGAGCATAAACCCTAGGCGTCAGACCCTATATCCCAAACCCTAAACCGTAAAGCCTAAGATGCAAAACTTTAACTGAACCCTTTTCCACAAGAAGCTTCCTGCGTTACCAGCTATTCGCAAGGGTTTAGGGTTTAGGGTTTATGAGGGTTTGCGGGCAGGTCAACATGAGGCCCAAGGTCAAAGCCCAAGACTTGAAATTCTCTCTCTCTAACACCCGCTTCTTTGAATGCGCTCTTTGCATGCTTCCCAATGTAAGGGTTTAGGGTTTAGGGTCCGTTGCTTATGTTGTCCAAACGAAGACGTATTCCTCCCTGTCAAGAATTAGGATAGGCAGATACGGATTTAGGGTTTAGGTTTTAGGATCTGCGTAATATCTTGCTGCAGCCAGAAGCTCGAGACTCACAGCTTCCTGAGTTTGGCTCCGAGCAGAAAATCCAACACCTCAACGTACGTTAGTGTTTAGGGTTTGGGGTTTAGGGATTAGGGTTGAGGGTTTGTGGGCAATGAAATCTGAGTTGTGTGTTCCGTTACTCCATGGGAATGATATGTAGGCGTATTGCTGGGTGCAGCAGCCACCTTCAGGGAGTAGGGTTTACGGTTTAGCGTTTAGGGTTTAGGGTTTGCAGGCTCTTCTGGCCCCTCCAGCTTGGAGCGAGCCGATTAGGGTTTCTGCTGAAGACTTTTGGAGTTTTTATTTTGGAGGACAAAAAACTGTTTTCTATCGAAATGCTAAATTGCAAGAATTCTCCCCCTATACCCAAGTCAAACCCTAAACCCTAAACCCTAAACCCTCAGCCACACAAGTTGTGTCTCCTCAACGCACATGACACCAAGCTTTTACTTTCGCCAAGCTACTCTTAGGGTTTAGGGTTTATGGGAGTTAGGGCTTACAGCTCACGGTCGGACACAAGCTGCACTGCTCCCCTAACCCTAAGCCCTAATCCCCCCGGCTTTTGGGCTGCTTGTTGCAGGCCGATGGACTTGTGCGCTGCTTAACCTTCTACTCAGACTCTCGCCGCAACCTGCCGGAAGAAATACGCTCTCTGTATAACCATAGGAGGTGGAGCCGCAAACCCTAAACCCTAAAACCTGGACATTAACGACACCACGCAGGCCTTATGAAAACCGCGGGTGCTTTGGTGCTTCTGATGCGTTTATACTTAGCTGGGCTTGTAAATGAAGTGTTCAGATCCAGGGTTTAGGGTTGAGAGTTTGTGGTTTAGGGCTTAGGATTTAGGGTTTGATGTGGCGCAGGGACGGTCTAGAGGAAAGAATCTTCTGGCCAACTACAGGCAGACAAATCGAAAGATATGCTGCAGGCAATCCTCACGCCTTGCGAGAAGTCGTGACAGTAAACTTCAAATCCTAAACCCCAAACTCTAAACCCTAAACCCTAGGTCTAAACACATGAAGAATACTGCCCTGCTGCTGTTGTTGGATTTCTTCAGGTGTACGGAGAGAGACGCGAACTCTACTTCTACAAATCAAGGTAACGACACCTCCATGCATAGGGTTGAGGATTTAGGGTTTAGAGCTTTTAGTGGTCAGCCCAGTGACTGGCGATTTCAATATGGGCTGCCTGCGCAGACTCGACGGCCTCGTGAAACATGTAGAGGTGCTCCTCGGCACGGAATCAGAACGACTTTCCAAAGCCTCAACCATAAACCCTAAAACCCTAAACCCTAACATCCCCGGCATTCTTGCGGAAGTGGCGAGCTTCCAAGCTTTCGCTGAGCCCCAGACTCGCGACTGTATTTCACGTGGAAAGCTCCCCGTAGGGCTTAGTGGTTAGGGCTGATGAATTAGGGTTTAGGGTTTAGGGTTTTCTTCAGAGGTTTGGAGTAAAAATATCTGAGGAATTTGAGGGACGCGAAGATGGACTAATTGCCCATTCGGTGAAATACAAAGATATGACTGAAGAAGACAAAGATAACGAAAGCATCACTGTGAGGGTTTAGGGTTTAGAGTTCAGGGTTTGGAGTGCAACGTTTATGGTCTTAGGCTAAGTTCGGCCAGTCTAGGGTTAAGGGTTTGGGGTTTAGGGTTTACGGTTTCCGTCAGCAGCTTGCGTCTTATGGGGGAGGAGTCTTTGCGTTCTTGTCGGAGCTTTCGGGTGCCGCCTCTAGGCCAAAACCCTAAACCCTAATCCCTAGTATCTAAACATTTCCTGTTGGTGCGAACAGGTCTTTGGCTCCGTGAAGTCTGTTGTTCGTGTCTCCCAAAAGTTCGAACCCTCTAAGGTTAGAAGGTTTAGGGTTTAGGGTTTAGGGTTTAGTATGAGTGGTTCGGTAGCAGAGGGAGTCTGCCGCCTGCGTACATGTCATAAAGTTTCGCCTTGTGTCGCTGCGCGTACACCCTAAACCCTATACCCTAAACCCTAGACTCAAACCTTTATTTACGAGAGTACAAATCTTGAACCCCTGTCCTCTACTTGTGTTGTTGTGTTATGCATGCAAACAGAAGCAGCTGCAGCAGATGCAGGAGCTAGAAGGGTTTCTGTGTGTATCGAAAGCTGTCTATACTTGCGATGGAACTCTTCGAATTGAATTTCGACCCGCAAAGCACTCCCTCATCAAACCCGTACTCTATCTTAGACGGGCAGGCCTAAACCCTAAACCTTTAACCCTAAACCCTAAACCCAAATCCTTAAACTCTAAACCATAAGACTGTCAAGTTTAAGGTTGGAAAAATCTACGACTTAAATGTGTAAATCCATGCGTATGTGCACTCCAAACCCAAAACCCTAAACAGTAAGCCCCAGGAGTTACACACTACAATCTTAATATCAGCTATGCTGCTAAACCCTAAACCCCTTTTGCTGCAGATTAGATCTTTGTTGCAATACGACGAAGATGCAATTCCCTTTTGTGGGGGCTCGAAGGCCCCCCCTCCCACAGAGGCTGAGGTCAGGCAGCACAAACTCCAAACCCTTAACCCTAATAAGCCCTAGACCCTCGTTCAGGAGCAGCATGCCACAAAAGAGACTTTCCAACATCTGCAGTTAACGTGCTAGAGGAAACGTAGAAGCTGCAAGAAAGAGAGGGAGCAAATGCCCAGGGTTTAGGGTTTAGGGTTTACGTGACACAGGTCGCCCGCTATCGGAAGATGCAAAAGGATTTGGTGGTTAGGTTTTCTACCGTTGTGATGCCGCAAGCAGAAGCCGTGCACAAAGTAACCCCTGAATAACAAACCCTAAGACCCAAACCCTCATGCAGGTTATGTCTGTGCCGTAGGCCTAACTGGGGTTTAGTGTTTTGGTATTTCGTATTCTTTGCAATGAGGGTTTAGAGTATAATTAGGGTTTAGGGTATAATTAGGGCTTATGGTATAATTTTGGTTAATGCTATAGTAAGGGTTTAAGGTATAACAAGAATTTATGGTAGAATAAGGTTTCATGCTATAATTGGGGTCTGTATATTCCGGTATAATTAGGGTTTAGGGTTTAGGGTTTAGGGTTTGTGTTAGTGGCGAGAAGAACAAGCTGCTGCTATACAAGAGGCATGGCGAGTAGAAGAGAAAAGAAGAAGAAGTCAGAAATTATTTAGTACGATTGACGAAGGAGACTTTATAGGAGAACAAAAAATAGATAGAGCTATTTCGTGCAGCATTTCATCTTCTTCTCCTGCAGCAGCAGCAGCAGCAGCTGCTGCTGCTGCTGCCGCTGGAGTCGGGACGACAGACCAGGCGACTGCTGCAACAGGCTTGGATGCCACCGCAGCAGCAATTGCAGCCGCCGAAGCAGCAACAGCAACAACACAAACAACACAAACAGCATCAGCGTCAGCGGCAGCAGCAGCTGCTGCTGCTGGTATTAAGGAGAAGGAAATAAAATCTAAATACCCTTTTTGTCTGCATGCAACATTAAAACCCTCGTTTTTAGATATTGCTGCTTATGCTGCTGCTAAGAACCCCGACAGTATACTAACGTATACTAGAAAAAACAGCAAAGAAACCAACAAAAAGCAACAGGCAAGAAAATCACACTGCTGCTGCTGGTGCTCCTGATGCTGCTGATGCTGTTGCTGCTGGTGCTGCTGATGCTGCTGTTGGTGCTGTTGCTGCGTTACATGGGTGGGATACCGCTGCTGCTGAGGCTTCTGCGAGTGCTGCTGCTTGTGCTGCTGCAGGTGGACTTGTTGGCACCGTACATGATTGCCTACGAAGGTAAGCAGCAGCAGCAGCAACAGCAGAACCAGCAGCAGCAGCTGCTGCTGCAGCAAAATCAGAAGAAGCAGCTAAAGTACCACGTTAGGTAGCATCTAGCAGAAGCAAAGACATACACATACACCGTGAGCAATCAGCAGCAATAGTAGCAGCAAGAACAGCGCCAGCAACAGCAGCAGCAGCAGCAAAAGCAGCAACACAAGCAGTTGCAGCAGCAACAAGTGCAGCAGGTGTTGTTGTGGTTAACAGGAAAGGAAATAGACAGCGAGAAGGCCGAAGAAATCGCCAAGAGGGCCAAAAATGAATTGCGAGTAAATACAAAAAAATAGAGCTGCCTGTACACCTCAACATACCCTCATGCATGCATGCATGCTTATTAGCTCATTGAACCTCTCATACACGTGGGTATGCTACCGGTAGGGCTTAGGGTTTAGGGTTGAGTGTTTAGGGTTTAGGGTTGAGTGTTTAGGGTTTAGGGTTTAGGGTTTGGAGTCTGTAAGACTTTGTGAATGTGCAGCTGCGGCTGATGGAGAAAGCAGCAGCAATACAGCAGCAGCTCGAAGAGAAGCAGGAGCAACTCAAACGCATTAAAGTAAACCCTAAACCCTAAACCCTAGAGCAGTTATATAAATAGACAGACAGACAACGATACACCGCCGCAGAGCAGGAAAAAGCGTAAAATCAACTACATGAATTTAATACATTAAAATACAATTAAATTAATTAATTAAAATAAAATAAATACCATAGACTGCTTTGTATGCAGGAACATATGCAAAGAAAGATAAGAGAAGCACCACCAGGTAATGCAGAATTGCAAGAAGCAGCAAAACGCCAAGAAGAATTATTATTTAAAATAGAAATATCTACACAAAGACTTAATAGACATGAAACACAGGTAAGCCCTAAAACCTAAACCCTAAACCCTACCCCTAAACTCTAAATACCCTATACACCACAATTGCGCTAAACATTAGTTGCTGCTGCTGCTGCTGTTGTTGCTGCTGTGGCACTTTTTATCTTTTCCCCCTTAATCCCCTTAATAATCCCCGTTGTAGTTTTATTGTTTTAAGGGTTTATTGTTTTAAGGGCTTATTTATTTATTTAATTTACTTATTTCTTGTGATGACAGGCATTAGAAAAACTACACGCCCTCGAGTTGGCTATAGCCAAAGACCCACGTCTCAAAGCCATGTGGGCACTGCATGCAGAGTAAACCCCCGTTTAGGGTTTAGGGTTTAGGGTTTAGGGTTTGGTTTAGGATCTGCACTCGCCACTTTCGCCTTTAACTCAGACCCAACTATTTAACTCGGGCTTAGGGCCTAGGGTTTAGGGTTTAGAAATTGAAAAGACAGCGCACTTGCTGCAGCTCCTGCAGTCTTTAATGGGTCTGCTACTGTTGCTGCCCTTCGTTCACTATAGGGGCCTGCTGCTACTGCTACTGCTACTACTGCTGCTACTGCTACTACTGCTGCTACCTCTGCTACTGCTGCTGATACTACTACTACTACTACTGCTTCTGCTACTACTAGTATTGCTGTTGCGGGTACTGGTGCTCCTTCTAGGACGAACGCTGTTGCTACCGCTACTACAACTACTGATGTTGCTGCTATTACTAGTACTATTGCTGGTGCTGGCGCTGATACTACTGCTGTTGCTGCTACTAGTACTACTGCTGCTACTTCTGTTACTTCTGTTGTCACTGTTGCACCCACTGCGATGGCGGCAGCAGCAGAGGCTGTTGCTACGGACGTCACTGTTGTTGCTGCGACTGATGCTACGGCTGTTGCTGCTTATGCTGCAGCAGCAGCAGCTGTTGCTGCTGCTGCTGCGGTTGCCTCTGCTGATGCCGTTGAGGCTGTTGTTCCTGCTGCGGTTGTTGCTGCTGCTGCGGTTGCTGCTGCTCCTCCTGCTTCCCTAGTGCTGCGCTGCCAGGGGGTGCGGGAGATGTGGGAGCTCTCCCCCTTAGGGTCTAAATTAATTTACCAAATAATGCATAATTAAATTATATTATATTAATTTAAGTTAACTAAACAAAAAATGTGCAGCAAAGAGATGTCTTTGTTTTTTAAGCTCTTTGGCACAAGAGCGATCGTTGCGCACCACTGGTCAGTCCAGTCGCGCCAAGCAAACACACAAAACCACAGGCAACAAACCATACACAAGGAATTCTAAACACCAGACCATAAACCCGAAATTAGCAGCCTTAAACACCTACTTAAAGGCCTTTAGAGGCCTCGATGTCAATCTAACGCTAGTCGAGGAGGGGCAGCAGCCGCCACAGCAACAGGAGCAGCAGCACCAGCAGTAAAAGCAGGCTTTTTCTTTTCTTTTTTGCGTTAGGGTTCAGATTTATTATTTATAATAATATTAAAATATAACTGCCGTTTAAAGAAACAAAAATAGCGTTAATTGCTGCTTGTGTTTCCTCCTGTCTAGCGACCGCCGCCGACAGACCGCTTCAGCAGCAGCGGCAGCCGCAACAGCAACAACAGGGGGCGCAGAAAGTAGCGGCAGAAGAAGCTAGCGATGCCTTTTGTGTGTATTTGTCGTGTGGGTTTTTATTTCTTTGCGTTTTTACTCTCTTTACTGATATTTGCAAAACAATAAAAACGCCCTTTATTGATCTCTACTTATGCTCTTGATGCTACTAGACAGCAGCACCAGCAAGAGCGTCGATTCCAGCAGCATCAGCGGGCAGCTAGCTGAGGCCTCAGCAGCAGCAACAACAGCAATAGCAGCAACAGCATCAGCAACAGCAGCAACAGAAGCAAGAACAAAACACACACAAAAAAGACAATGGGAAACAAAACGAAAGGCGAAAAGTACATCAATGTGCTCCTCAGACCTTCGCTCCCAACTCAGCACCAGCGGCAGCGGCAGCGGCAGCAGCAGCCGCCACAGCAGTTGGCGCCGCCGCAGGAGCAGCTACCTCAGCAGCACCACCAGGAACAGCAACGCCAACAGCAGGTGCAGCAGCAGCAGCAGCAGCAGCTGGAGCAGAAGCAGCAACTTGACATTTCCCCCATAAACCCTGGACAAGGCAACATCAACAATATTAACCCTCCCCTTGCTGCTCCTTCTGCTCCACAGCCAGCTACAACCGCTGAAGAAGCACATACGGAAGGACCGAGTTCGATTACCTCAGACACGCAGCAACATCACGAGCAGAAGCAGCAGCAGAAGCAGGAGCAGCAACAGCAGCAACAGCAGCAACAGCAAGAACACCAGCAAAACAAAGGCCACCCCAAGGAGCAGCAGATCCAGCGACAGCCGAATCAACAACAGCAGCAGCAACAACAAAAGCAACAGAAGAGTCGACAGCAACAGCGACGGGAGCGGCAAGCAAAGGCAGCAGCAGCAGCAAAAGCAGCAACAGCTACGGCACAAGAGAGGGCAAAAGAAAACGGAGACAGCAAACACGCCAGTCCCCGCAGACACTTGCCAGAAGCACCTCCAGCAGTAGAAGCAGCGGATACGAATCCAGCAGCAGCTGTAGACACTAATCCACCAGTAGCAACAGTCACTGATCCAGCTGCAACTGCAGACACTAATCCAGCAGCAGCAGCAGCACAAACAACAACAACACCAGCTGCAATAGCTGCACCAGGAGCAATAGCAGCAGCAGCAGCATCAGCAGAACAAGGGCTAGGAGAAACAACATCGGCAGCAGCTGCAGCAGCAAGGAGCGCAGAAGAAGAATCAGAACATGGAGCTGTGGAAATTGCAGAGGAAGAACTTTTGATAGCAGACCCAGAGACTGCAGCAGCAGCAACAGCACCACTAACAGCAGCAGAAGTAGCCGCAATAGCAGGCTGTGGCGGGCCATCTTTTAACGACGGCGATATGAGGCGGGTGGCTAGAGTTCCTAGCAGAATCGAAGACTTCAGCTGTAAGAGAAACACTGCAGCAGCAGCAACAGCTGCACATACTAGCCCTGCCGCTCTTTGTGTTGTTTATGTTGCTGTCGCCGTGCTTATGCTGCCCAAGATAAGTACCTTTTAACTGTTAATGGATGTGTAGTCCTCTGCTGCTGTTACTGCTGCTGTGTTTGTCCTGCTGCAGCCCTTGTTGCTGACGGAGGTAAGGGTTGCTCTGTGATGCAGCGGGTGCTGCTGCAGCAGCTGCGTCTGCAAAAGCTAGTTGCTGCTCTCAGCCTTAAAGCATGCGGTCCATGGCAGCAGCAAACTGCTGCTGCTCCTGCAGATGCTGCTGTCTCTTGTGTCCTCCTTTACTCTATACCTCGGACACGCACCAACGGGGCACCCGGCCTACCCTGGTTAGTTTCCTACTGCTGCTGTTGCTACCGTTGCGGTTTGCTGCTTCTGTTGCGGCTGCTGCTGTTGTTGCTGGTGGTGGTGGTGTTATTGCTGCTGGTGTTTGGTAGGCAGCTTCTCTCTGGAGACAGGGTTTAGGGTTTATAGTCTAGTGTTTAGGGTTTGTGTGCAGGCGTCAAGGTCGCGTTCACTATCTTGTTGGCCCTGCGGAAGCATTGGAAGTGGGTATGGGAAGTGCAGCAGCTGCAGCAGCTGCAGCTGCCGCTTCTGCTGCAGCTGCCATGGCCTCTGAGGGAGCAGTAGCAGCAGCAGCAAAAGCAGCAGCCGCAGCCGCAGCAGCAGCCGAAGTCCCTGTTGGGTGGCATGTTTCTTCTCTTGCTCCTCTTTATGAAGATCCTTCTAGTGGAGATTTGTTGCTGCTCGGTCTTCTTCCTCTAATCCCTAAAGCAAGAATTCTCTGCTGTTACTTCTCTGGTAACTCCTGCTACTGCTGCTAGTGCTGCAGCTGCTGGGTTTGCTGCTGCTTCTAGGGATGCTGAGGGTTGGGCGCCTGTTGTGGCTTCCCATGGGTGTGGTAACTGCTGCTGCTGTTGTTTTTGATGCTGTTGCTGCTGCTTCTGTCCTGGTTGTTGGTAATCCCAAATGTAAAGAACGACAGCTCTATATTAACAACACTTGCCTATACACCTGATGCAAACAACCCAATTCAAATCCGCGCTGTTGTTGCTACTGTTGCTGTTGCATTGCTTTGTTGCTGCAGATGCCAGCAGCAAAGTGTACGACTTCCAATGCGGCTGTTGTGAGGAAAGGGGAAACTTCTTTCCTTCTTGTTTGTTGGAGCAGCTAGAACTGCAGCAGCAGTTCCTGCAGCATCAACAGCAGCTGCTTCTGCAGCACCAGGAGAAGCTTCTTCAGGTTGCATCGGCACACGAGGCGCTAGCAACGCAGCGACAGCTGCATCACCTGCAGCACCTGCAGCGACAGCTTCCCCCGCAGCAGCAGCGACAACAGCAGCAGCAGCAGCGCCAACTCGACATGCAGCAGCAGGAACTACAGCACCAGCAAAACCATTGCTTCTATACCTTACCTCCAAGAGCTCGCGTCGTTAGCATCCGTGATGGCCGATTGGCTGAGGGAGACAGATGTACACCTCCACACCCTACACCCTAAACCTTAAACCATAGACCCTAGCCGTCTCTACACTCCAGCCCTCCACAGCTAAAGAGACAAAACGCAACCGGAAATTGTCATTCTTCACGCCTGCTGCTGCTGTTGCTGTAGCTGCTGCAGCGCTGCAGCTTATACGTTTCTATCTGTTATTGCGTTTTCTGTGGTCTTCTCGCTGTTGTTGCTGCTGCTGCAGTGACGTGCTCCGGGATTAGCGTCCGCGTGTCTGCTGCATTTGCTGCTGCTGCTGGTGGCAATTGGACAAGGAGCAGCGCTCATTACATGGACAGCCGCAGCGGCCTATGGATAGGGGTGCCATTAACCCCAACAGACCCAGCTGCAGCAGCTGCTGCTGCTGCAGCTGCAGCGGCAGAACCACAACCAACACCACAACAAGCAACGCAACCAGCACAAGCACCAGCTGCAGCTGAACCACAACGAGCAGCAGCAGCAGCAGCAGGACCACCAGGTGCAGAATCACCAGCAACAATCGAACTAAACCCAGAACAAGCAGCAGCAGCACAAGCAGCACCAGCACCAGTAACAGTACCAGCAGCCGTATCTGCAGCAATACCTGAAGCAGTACCTGTAGCAGTACCAGCAGCAGTATCAACAGTCGCACCAGCAGCAGTACCAACAGCAGAACCGACAGTACCAGTAACACGAGCAGCAGAGGTAACAACAAGAAGGAGGAAGAACGTGGAGATGTCGTTTCTTATGCCTGCCGAAAGAAGTCTTCGATTTGTTCTTCAAGACGCAGATGGAGTTTTGTAAGAAAAAATAATTTCTTACTTTTATCCTTTTATATACTTTATTATATGTTATATGCTGTATTACATATATATACTTTATATTGCATATTTTACATTACCTATTATATATTATGTATTTTGTATTATATATTATATATTATATATTATATATTATATATTATATATTATATATTATATATA